GACTGCTTTTTATGTCAGCAAGTATCGGTCACACTTCTTCTCCTCTATCAAAACAGCTTAAGCTCATGTGATAAGCTATGAGTTACAGAGCAACAGAACTTTTTATTTTGAAAAGCTTTGAAACACAGGGCCACTGGAGGGGGGTGAGGGGGGGAGTTAAACCAGAGCAGCTCAGGCCCGACAGAAGTCTGACTGAACCCCGTCCAGTTTCTGTTGGCTTAAGGCTTTACAGATGACGAGAAGTCATAGATGTTACAAACTGGTTCGCTTTAAAACGCTTGATCGGCTAATGGTACGCTGTGTCTAAAGCATGTGACAAATAAGAATAAATTAAACCCAAATGTCGACGCAGCCATGAGGCCATGACAGTACATTCCATATGAACACAAAAGTTGGAATTCACAAGTTCCAAGTCCGGAGGGGGAAAAAAAGAAGAAAAGAAGCATTGGCACAGCCACCAAAGTTGGGTTCGGTGTCTCAGAGCTCGGAAATTGGTGACAGCAGCAGTACTAAACTGTTTATCATCACTCCTGTCAGTCTGCCCATCAGCCTTTGACGGTGATGATTGGTCGCAAAGGTGGGTGAGCACAACTATGAACAAATCCCACAACTTCTCTAGTGTAGAAGCGGAACAAGTACAACTTGCGTGCAACAAGCTGCAGGTTTCTGAATGACGTGGAGCACCGACTGAAACGGCAAAGACAATCCAGCAACGAAGCCCATCGCCTCACTGTGATGCATTCACACTAATTCTTCAAGGAAATTGTTCCGAGCTTTATTTAGATTTTTCTGTCTGACGACAGCCAAATCGACATAAGAATAATGAAGATACAACAACTTTCTGCCCACATAACTTCATGTGAGGCCCTGACAGATTTGAAAGTGTGCAGGTTGTGTCATGCTCCTGCAACTGCTACACAGTTTTCCGTTAATTAAGCAGAAGTTTAAGAACAATGCAGAAGATTGTTTAAAAAAAAAAAAAAAAGTATTCAGCTTTAAATTTAGCAACTGGCAATTGCTACGTCCAAAATAATCATTTCATTTGCGTTTGAAGACTTGAACAAAAGGGTAATGATTTCTAATTATCTGGAGACGTCAATAGGTTCAAAGCAAAAAAACTTTCTTCAGTTTATAGTTTCTACAGATGCTGAGAATAAAGGTTTAAGTGAGCAGTGACACGTTCAAGTTTTTCCCCTGTTTTGGCAGAGCAAAATGTAATGATATCTGAAATTCTCCACACTTGTCTGCAGCGAATTCCTGCCTTACCTTTACTGCATGTGGCTACGTCCAAAATCAACAGGCAAAGACAAGTCAATGGAGGGAAAGGCAGCGAAGAATAATGAAGGAGACTTTTTGATGACATGAAAGCATGGAAATTCTGGAGCTTTTCTTTGCCCTGACACACACGATCCAAAGCCATTAGGAGTTAAACTGACGAAATATATCTCATAACATCGGACATTTGACATCCTGAAAAGCCTTCATGGCTGTCTAAGAGGACTGGAGGGGATTGGAGGGATGGACAATGTAATGTTTGTGTGTCAGTGTAATTCCGTTTGTGTGGATTGTCAGAGTGGTTCTAGTTATCTCTAATTACAGTCAAATCCGTAAACAAAGTTACCAGGAGACATTTCAGTCCAGCTGGCAGTTATTCAAACCACCCGCTTCCCTGTGAAAGTCACTTCCAGTGTTTTAATTAGGCCTCCCAGAATGTTTATATGAATATGTTGGTTCAGGTCAAAAGGTCCATCGCATAATAACTGACAGCTATCATTATCTCTTCCCTTTGTCTTTGCTCCTCCTCTGATCCGGCTAATTACATCCGCTAATGTCAATATACAATTCAACCTGCGATTATGTCTGACGGAACATGTGGAACCTTGCTGTCGTTCCCCCAGCCAGGAAAAACCTCCTGACATGTCACACAGACAGCCAATCAGAGGCCCCACTCAATAACCTATGGCCAAAAACCACAGCTCACACTCACAGCTCATCTTTCACGTTCTCCCACTTTCAAACACATTCCCCCTCCATCCCAAAAATGCACTCATGAGGGCTGGAACGCATGTTGAAAACACAGGAAAGAAGCTCTGATTACACTCGCACAGCCTAATTACACCTAAATTGAGGGCACATGGTAATCTGTGTTAGGTCATCTCTAATTCCACTTACATTTCCACTTTTTGGACTAATTAAAACCGTAAATAATCACAGGAATGGGCAAGCATGACATTTCTGAGGGAGCCTAAGAAAATGTGCACATCAGACTCCAGGAAAATTAAACTCACACTCTTTGATTTTAACAAGATAACATTTAGAAAAGAGCGTGAAAAAGTGCTTCCAAAGCAAAAGTGTAACCAAATTAAAAGGTGTTTAATTTACAGGATCACTGAAAAAGAAAATACTCAAATGAAGGGAAAGGTGACAAAAGGGCATCTCCAACTTCTCCACCACTCATCCACCAGATGGACTATAAAAAAAACGTCAGAACCGAGACCCAAACTTTCAAAGCTGCATCTCCCCCCATGGCGAACTGAGGTGAGATGAGGAAAAGAGGAATTTGTTATTCTCAGGGTTTTGGCCCTGAGGTAGTGGGAGTAAAGAGAATATGAATGGGATTGAAAAAATGAAGGAAAAAAAACACTTCAGAAGATGAAAACAAGCACTGAAAGGCAACTGGTGGAATATAACTAACACTGGCATAAGTGCAGAATGAATTCCAATGAAGAATCCCAGGTGGATGTACAGAAGAGAAGGGGACCACCAGGGTCACCTGCTTTTCACACAGTGTTTTTAGCCAAGGGTTATCCATAGCCCTGGGCTGATCTGGCTCAGGTCAAACTAGCAGTGACTGAACAAGTGTCTGTTCATCACCTGAAAACAAACTTTGGAGTCCCTGTGGTTGCTTTCACTTTGTCCCTAAACTCATATTTTTTCCATATCCTGTCAGAAAAAGCATCCTCTTTAACAGTCACCGACCCACCTCCCTGGATGTTTCATCAATTAACCAATGACCAGGAGTTTTCATTTACGTGACACCTGACATCGAGAAAGCAAAACAGAAAGAACACAACAATTATTGCTAATGCAAATAGTGTACAAATAATAACCATTGTTCCACAAGCTCATTCATAGATGGTGCACCCACTTCCACCTCTCTGAAATATATTTAAGCATCCGCAATGCTGGATATGGTCTTTAAAAAGAAAAAAAACCCTCAAGCATGGAACCAAAACCAACACCATGGCAGGAAAGAGGGGCGGAGAAAAAGAAGAAAAGGTATGTGGATGTGCAAACGGCAAAGACAAAGAGAAGAAAGCAAGTGAGGGACCACACAGAAATATCCTGAAGTGATTCATTTATTCCATTTAGGAGAGGAGGGCAGATCAAAGAGTAAGTCGTCCTCATCTGCCATTGATTAGGACAGACAGATGCTGGTATGTGCAACACAAGCAGACAAAGGAGAGGACAAGAGTCTTCACAATTTCTTATTATCTCATGACTTTGGAATTTATAAAACACTAAAGAAACAAGAAGAAAAACCAATGCGGGTTCCTGGGTCAGAGTATGCAGAGAGCAAGAGAGACGAAACCCACAGAAAGGTCCCTCAAGATTTCAGTCATTTATTATTTGCTTAAGCCTTCCAGAAAAGCCTCTCTCATGTGGTCTCAGACCTTTTAGTTGGTCAATGAACAACTGATCTAGTGTGAAATAAGATCCTCAAAGTACAAGACATCCAGACACTTTATACCAGCTGTGAGACTTGATATCAGAGTCTCAATAGCCCCAAAACAAATTAAACACATTCTGGATGTTAAATCAGAGACTGTGATTACAACTAACTTCCCACAAATCAATAAAATCAGTTGTTTTTATCCAAGCAGTTGGGAGGGAAAGCTTGGCTTTTAAACCATGGCCAGATTAGGTCAACCAACCAGAGAAACAACTCAAAAGTCAAAACAGTTCAAGCCTTCTCATGTCTGAAAAAACGCCTCACTGAAAATGATACGGCTCCACATTAACCTCTCACGTACTGCTAATCACCAGTTTAATTTACCTGAAAGTAGATAAAAAGCTTAGCAACAAACCAAAAACTAAGACTAGAGTAAATATTAGAAAGGTGAAAGGTGCAATGACTTAATGTAAAATGTTGTATTTAATAAGAGTCTGCAAAGGGTTATCTGCTTAAGAATTAATGTTTCTGGCTGTATTGGAGTCCAATAACGAACATTAAATACAGTTGCTATTTGATGGGGATACATACAGTTTTACTGAGAACAGCGACACTCAGTGGTGGACTGCAGGTCACTTCATTTTACTTCTGACATTTTAAGAGGAGAAATGTTGAAAATGTCTGAAGTCTTGTTTACTGATATCAAACCCACCGTTAGGAACGGTTGTGGTAATATCAACCACATACTGTAACTTAAAGCATTAATTAAAGAAAAAAAACAGCGTCTCAGAGAGAACCATACTGAAAACATACTGAGGAAATAATAAAGAAACAGAGAAGGCCCTCAATGTAAAGTTTCCAATTCTCTGCCAAAATAAGATCATCTAACATATAGGTTGAAAATAAAAGAAGATATATTTGTAAAAAATTGGGGGAAATGGTTGACGTATAAGGGAAGACATGGTTAACCAGATGGTTGCAACACAAACAGCTTCACACAGACTCTTTTTGTAAGTTTCATTGCTTGTTTAGTTGATTTTTTTTTCTTCTGTGTGTGTGTCACTCCATACGATGGGAGACGTTGTCTTTTACCATTTTGTCAACTCTGAAAACTAAATAAGAATTGATTTTTTTTTTATTGTTGCAGTGAAAATCTTCAGGCTTTCTGTGTGCTATAAAGTGAAGGTGCATCAACAGAAATATGTTTTGAAATCAGAGCAAGCTTAGAAAGATGTAAGGAGATGTTATACTCGAGAAGGGAGACCAGAGGCCAGAAATTGAGAACCACGACAAGAAAAAGACAGAGAAAAGGAGAGCATGTATAATGCTATGTATATGTGGGACTGACCATTTTGTTCTCCTGCAGGTAGAGCCTCTGCAGTTTTGGACAGCCTCTCGCCAAAGCCGTCATGCCTTCATCTGTAATACCGTAGCACTGACCCAGGTGAATATCCCTTAACTCGCTGCAGTGTGCTCCCAGCTGAAGGCAAACATAAAACACAAAATTAAAGCCTTCCAAAGTGCCTTTGTGTATGTAAAACACAAAAAAAAAATCGATAAAGATATAAGAAGGGGGACTTGAAAGTATCATGTATTTAATGTGAGATTTAATCTTTCATTTGAGGTCTAATCCCGTGTGTCTGATTCAGTTTTAGAATCATACCTTCTTCAACGGTGCATCTGTCAGTTTGTCCTGGTTCCCCACATGCACCTTAACCAGGAGAGGGCAGTGTGTGGCCAATGCCGACAGGGAGATGTCGCACAGCTGTTTACATCTGTAGGCTGTATACTTTTGAAGGCCTGGACAGTGTGAGGCCAGGGAGGCCACGCCGTGGTCATGGACGCCCCTGCAGTCCGAAATGTTGATCTCTGTCACATTCTGCCTCCGAGAAGCTATTTTTACAAGAAGATCATCATCGACCTGTAAAACAAGTTAGGGTAAAGAAATGTAGGAATCAGTCACTATCCCCTTTATTCACAAAAGCCTGTGTGTGTTTAAAACAAGACATATCACATAAATGAGCTCTTTCAATAATATGGGAGAACAGGGAGGAGAGAAAGTTCCACTTCCTCTGAAATGAGAGTAATTTTATGAAGACACTGATTCTCTTACTTGCTGTAGGCCACTGAGGTCAATTTGCTTCCAGAACTGGAAGTCCAAGCAGAGATCCCTCCAGTATTTACAAACCAGAGAGGCACATAGACAGCGCTCCTTCACTGTCAGATGGGACAGCACCTGAGGGGAGGGGGTAAAAACACACATTTATAGTCTGTCAAATCACTCATCTCCATTTAAAAATTACAAAAAAATAAAGTTCTCTTTCAATGTCTGTCTTGGTGTTGTAATATTTTTTCAGTACCGGATCTTTGCAAAACTGAATGAACTGAACTTGCTCTGACCTTGAGAAGGATGGAGGAAGGCAAGTGGTTGATACTTAAGTGGTCAGCAGCATCCGAGCTTCTTGCCTGGCAGTCACCGTAGTGGTGCAGGCAGCAGGGGGATGAGTCCGAACTGTGGGGCGAGTCGGCATGAAGACCCAACCCACAGCAGCCATCGGCAGGTGAGGAGGAGGAGGAAGCAGAGGAGGATGAGGAGGGAGCTGGGCAGAGGGGAAGGTTGCGGTGGCCGGTCTCAGAGTTTGAAGCGGCCTCTCCTCCCCCGCCTCCTCCAACAACCCCGTGCTCCAGCCCTCCATCTGGAGCAGCAAAGGCACAGCGAGGCTGCTTGCACGGGGTGCACCTCTGCACCTCTGAGCACTTCCTCTTACACACCTGTATCAAGAAACACACAGAGGTCAACAAGGAAAGCCCAACATTTTCAACTAATTGAAAATGATGGTACCTACAGCATTAAGGAAACCAATGCTCAGCTGTGGACATCTGTGGCCAAGAACCTCACATCAGTGCATTGAAGAGGCTCTAACTGTCTGTCAGTGTTATCTTTCAATACATGAATGTCTCAGAGCTTAATAAAAACATAAGTATATTAAAGAAACTGTATGATTTGCTAGTTAAGATTAGACATACGTTTTGAAACAGTCTAAACACTTTAAAGCAGGAGTTATGACCGATGCCAAACATGTTTCCTCAAGGTGGAAACATGTTTGACATATATTTCCAGTGTTTAGGCTTTACTTATTGGCCCACATAACTGAGGAAGCCCCTTCCCTGACTGTGTTTGTGGTGTTGGTGCCTACCATCTCAGTGTAGTCGCTGGTGCAGCCGGGCACTGGCACGGGTATGGACACAGACACACCGGCGGTTCGAAAAAGCACGGGTGGAGGAATCAGTTTGGTCGGAACAGCGGACAAAATGCTCCTCCCCTGTCCTTCCCAGATGGCTAGCTCCCTTGGGGACAGAAGGAACTTGGAGCAGTCCTCAGGAGACGCAAGCGTTGTGTAGCGCTCTGCGAGCTTGGAAGCGGCTGCGGCCCCGATGCTGACGTCGCTCAGGCCAGGGACGGTGTTGTGACGGCACCCGTTGGCTTCCGGCTGGTCGCTGTCGTCGAGACCACTGCTGTTGCTGTGGACAATGAAGCAGAGCATGCAAGGCCCCTGCAGAAAACAGTTCCTCTTCTTCTTCTTCCTGTGATGCAACTTGCGGGTCTTCTTCTTCAGGCGTAAACCATTTTTCGAAAAAAGATGGCCCATATAGATGACTCAAGGAACCTCTAGGAGAACAGAAGGGAATGCATCAGAAAACGACCAGAAAATATTGGGAATGGCTGCCTGGCCCATCATATAATCAATTGATGTCTTTGTACTTTAACCTTTTCTGTATTGCTATTTTTCCTACTACTAAAAAAGCTCTCAGTGAATATCAACTAAACAATTAGATGACAACGTTACTTTTTCAGCAAATGTCAGAAAATATAAATATTTCATGGGGAACTGACAATTTGTTCAGACCTTTAAAATTTTTACCATTTTTTACTATAAACACACTCCTGAAAACAGAAGAAATAGTTGTTTTTTTATAACATTAGATGAAATCATAACCATGAATATAAAATATATATAAAGCTACAATAAATTTAATTTCATTCGTTTTTGGACCGAGCTGCACTGCTAAAGATGAAACTGGCACATTGCTGTAGTCCTACAGCCTAAAGCTGCTTCTGGTCTATCTTACAGGAGCTGTAGCCTCTAAAGCCTCTAAACTTTTGCTTCATGGGGGTAAAACGTTTGTGAAACAGAACTATTTACTCTTAACTCTACATTCAGACGGACAACACGCTCCTGATAAACAACACTGTTGCAGCTCATAACGTTCCTTTACTGGCTGCTGCCGAAAAAAAAGCTCAGGGATGTAAACAGTGAACAGGTGGTCATTTATTTTGACGCACGCGAGCACTTCGTGTGTTTACACGTAAAGGTTGTCTTCTAACTCAACTTTCCTCTGGTTTACGTCTATTATATGCTCGCAGTTTCGTCCTCCCATTTAAGAAAAATAAGACACAAGCTAGCAGCTTTATGACAGGCTAGCCTGCTCCATCACCAGATGCTAAATTAGCTGTAGCTCTCAACCTGAGCCAGCCCTCACCAATTCACACGGTGCTCCCTCACTCCGGACGGTGCACGCATAATAATGCTCCACGACCAAAGTGGAAGTCGATAAGCTCCAGCAGCAGACACACAGATGCAGGAAAACCTCAGCGTGAGCGACCGTATGCTCATCCAAACAGTGGCTTGCACTGGCTCTGCCTTCCCTGCTCTTGAGGACAGCACTTCCGTACCGAGAGGGCAGTGCTAACTAAGGAAGCCGACGAGGGCTATTCCTCATGTCTTTGGGGCAAAATGGGGGCTTTTTCTTCGCTTAAGTCATTTAATAACCATTAAGCTTTGTCCTTAATTGTTGGTGGGAACTCGTACTCTCAAAAACATGGCTTTTAACCCTCCACAGCGTCTTTGGTAAAGTCAGACACAATGACTAAAGCGCCATAAAAACATTTAAAATTCATAAATAGGGATGCAGGAGATACAAAGAGCTGTAAAAAAAAAAAAAAAAGTCAGATAATATGAAATGCTGTACTCTGGGACCTTTTACTTCAGTACCCTGGCCTGCAGCACATGATAAGAGATACCTGTCAGGAAGTCTGTGCAGTTGTGGTTGGACCTAACGTTTTTTACTTGTAATAACTTGTTACTATGTCATTGCTGTTTTGAGCAGTATAGTTGAATTAATGTGGTTAGACAATCAGAATTAATATGACAAAACAAGATGATTTTCCTTTTTTAAAGATTTCAAAAATCTTTATGCCAGACAGAAAAATGAATATATGTCTCACGATCTACTCATTTGGAACATAACCAGGAATCTGTATAATGCCTTGGAATTATGTAAATCGATTTATAGTTTACTGTCATATATAAAACGCACTGAACCTTTTGGATTAAAAAGTATGTATTTGCTTATTATAGAGTGCAGCTCAATGGATGGTTTTTAAACAATTCGCATTCTTTTAATGCGATTTTGAGTACATATTTGATAATGTTAAACAGGACATTCACTGTTTCAACATTTTACTTCCTTATTATTTCACAGATTAATCACGTTTTTCTTTCCTATAAACAAAAATTGGTATGAGCTCGATGGGGCGTGAACTTCAAGTCACCAGTTCCTTCAGACTGCTGGGCTACTCCCAGAATAGCAGCGTGTAATGGGGAGCCTCAGAGGAAAAAAGATGGCTGAAGGAGTTTCACCTATAATTCGGCAAATAAGTAAGGAGTGCAGGCAATCCGGAACTTCATCTGCAGGTATTAATCTCAAAGAAGTCGGGGACCTTTTAATTTACGATCGGCATGGCTTCCCTATCCCATTCAAGAGCCTGTATCAAGACGGGAAGTCGGTCATAATTTTCGTTCGGGTAGGGGAAATCTTTAGTCCACTTCTTGTTGCTGATGAATAGCTGTATCTGTTCTGCATAAAGAGTTTTTTTTTATGTTTGTCCATTACAAACACGGTGACGCTGAGCGTGAAGAAAACGGACTCATCTCTCACATGTTCCTGCAGAATTTTTTATGCTACAGCTGTAAAGAGTACGTGGATGATTTGAGCAAAGTTCCCAGAGGAGTTCTGAGGGTGAGTAGTCCCAAAGAAAAGCCTTCCGCTGCACGTTTGACGGTGCAAATCAAATCCGGTCAAGCTGAAAATGGCCATTTGGGTTTCTGATAAATCTTATAATTTGATATGTGTTCTTGCAGGATGCCGGAGTTCGGCTCATTGTGATTGGTCAGTCTGCTCATCACCACATAGAGGTAATTACATCTGTATGACTATGGCTCTGTCTGTACTTGGATCATTAATTGTTTTTTTTATTATTTGAATTAAGACATTTTTAAACACAGGTTATGCCTGTCTCTTGTCCAGCCTTTCTGCTTGCTGACGGGGTATCCTCATGAAATGTATGTGGATCCAGAGAGGCGCATTTACCAAAAACTTGGAATGAAAAGAGATGAGAAATTCACAGATTCTGGTAAACGTTTGAACAGAAGTCGTATGTAGTGAAATTGTTTTCTTTTAATATACAATCTACCTGATATTAACCATGAATCAGGATGTATGTTTACTTGTGTTTGCAGCACACCCCAGCCCTCATGTTAAGTCTGGCTTGTTTCTGGGCCAGATGAAGAGCATATGGAGGGCCATGACGAGTCCCATGTTTGACTTTCAGGGCGACATGTATCAGCAAGGCGGAGCCATCATCGCAGGACCTGGTAAAGCCGCTCAGACTGTGGAAAACTCTCCGTCTCCACTACACTTCTAGTCTTTTTTAGTCCCTCTCACACTGTCTTCTCCCTGCAGGGCCTCATGTTCACTTTTGGCATTTTGACATGAACCGTCTGGATCACATGCCCATCGATTGGCTCCTTCAGCTCGCCGGAGTTGAACAGACACTGGACTTCAGCGATACACCAAAAGTTATCCATGTATAGCAATCTCTCTGCCAGGGTGAGATTTTTAGACAGGCGCCGGGTTGTTTGGTGTGCCCAATCATAATTTGGAATCTGTGGATTTTTAATGAGCAGTGCCTGGTGGTTTCATTCAGGGAAATGTTGATCTAGCCCGGCATTGCCAGGCGAACGGACGCTTGAGTTTAAGAAACTTCAATTTGGGGTATTCCTGAACTAGATTGTTATTCCTGAACTAAATTCACAACAGAGTGGCTTGTTCTAACTCCCACACTGAGTCATAACAGCGCCTTTTCGGGAACCCCTGAAGACAGATAACAGACATGTGAAATTGTACAATTTGACCTGGACCATGACTTCTCCAAACTGCAACTGAGTAGTTTTTGTGCTCACAGAAGGAAACTGTAAGTATATTGGTTTTACCCACAAACAAAGTACGTTTGTTGGCCTGGAACATTTAGCTTTTCTGTTGAATTCGAGCTATGCCAAAGGACACTAAAGCCCTCTCTCATTTTATAAAAAAGTCCCACCAACACTCAAAACAGGCTTTTTTTTTCACTGAGAGAGGCAACTGCAGGAATTCTTTGGGTCGAATATGTATGAAGTATTCATCTATGACAGAGAGTTCTTACCGGCATTGATCAAAAGTAAACTCCTGGTATCTTACTTTGAGGAAACTAACAGAATTCTAGACTATACAAACAAAGAGATGTAGTGATTCAATCTTTAGGGTCTGTATTGGAACTATTAGCTCAGTCTTTCCTGTTTGGTCTCACTCATCAGAAATATTGGCCCTCTTTAAAAGTCACCTAACACTTTCCAATAGAAATCATCCCTGTTTATAGAATGTGATATGTTTGGTAGCAGAGAAGTGGGGGGAAACATTTTGCATTAAAAAAAATAAGATAGTCAGTTGCCTTGTTGTAAATTTTGTGATTTTGTGATAGATTTTGATGTATAGATGAGCTGTCAAATCCTCAGATATTATGATACACATACTGATGATCACAATTTTTCAGTTTAGTCTCAAACTCTTAAATCCCACTGCATACTATTTGGTTACTTAAATCACTATTTTGTCAGTATTTTTCCATTCATTTTTACATTTTCACAGTCAGACATTGAAACAGTAACGCTCATAAGTTAGTATGTGGTGTGAAAACATAGTAAAAGAATAGCTTATTTTTGTATTGTATGCTTTTGATGTCAGAACTATTTATTTTGGTGTTCTGATGTGTGATATGAGCCGAGGTGTTGCCATCACCAGCTGTTGCACTGATTTGATCATATCTTGTCCACATCCTTCCCTAAGACATTGTTTATTTGTAAATTGGAAATAAAACACTGAACAGTGTCATCTTTGGTTCCACTGCACACAAAAGATTTCGAAACTAGAAGTATACAGCACCCCTAAATGACTTTGATGCTCAAAATGTCATCTATATTTTTGTTACTCTCACTCGGTCGAACAGTGAAGGGTGAACACTGGACATCTAATCCTGATACGTCACTCGCCGGGGACTCAGGGAGCAGAAACCTGCCCCCTTTTGCCAAAAAGACGTCAGCGCCCAGCACAGGGGGCTGGGAGCAGGCACCAGTCACAGCTCACGCGAACGCAGCTCACACGCGCGCGCGCGGTGCAGAGAAAGAGAGAGCGCGCGCGAGGAAACCGAGACATGCGAAATTAACAGCAACAAAAACACGGACGAGCCGCCGACGTCGCCGCATTGCGAAGCGGAGCAGTTCTGGCGCAGCTGCTCAGCCATGTCACCCGGGCAGCCCTGAGGAGGAAGATGAAGCGCAAGAGCGAGCGGAGGCGAGCCGAGTCGAGGAAAAAACGCTGCGCTTCCCACAGCGGCTCAGAGGCGGAGCCAAGCCCAGATATTTACATTGAGATAACAGGTAAGATGAAACCCCGTCAACTTTCAAGCCTGCGTGGCAAATGCGTGTGCAGACCCGTGCTCATCCCAACGTTTTCGAAGCGCCGGAAAGTCCAATTTTCTCAGGCTTTTGCAGCAAAATGGCGACTACATCTTTCCCTTTCTTCGTTAAAGCAACATATTTGAGTCTACTGCCCCACCTCCCTCCCTCCCTCCCCCGCTAAATTTGCACAAAAATGACTCTTTTATAAGGCATTTATCAAAGTGCTTCAAATCGTTTCATATTTCTCGTTGTCAGCACCATCTCACTGGAGGGCTGCCTGTATGTTGCGCACGTGCACTAATTGGAAGGTGTGGTGTTTTGGTGTCGCAAACGTAACGGTGCATGCCATTGTCAGCTTTTCAAACGATCATTTTTCGTATCTTTGTGACGTTTCCCGGTTTCAATCCATCTTCGGTGAGCTTAATTCTGAAAGAGGGGAGGTTCGTAAGTGGAAATCGCAAATCTGACTGGTGGATGGATCGTCCTAGCAACCGTTTGGGCAACTGTCCCGGGGCCTATGAAGTGGCTTATGTGGAGAACTTTAAACTAAAACGGGCGGAACTGAACCTGTTTAGCAGGCCTGCCCTCCAATCACGTTGCGTTCAGTTTCCTCGATAGCCAATAGGCTCCCTGGAAACAGACCAGAGGCGGAGTCAGGCAGGGTGTCAGTTTTAGCAGAGTGCGCACTTGCTGTCGAAACTCCCCCCTTCGCTCCTCGGCTGGTGACTTTCTCCTCCTTGAAAACAAAGTCAGAAGAAAGGGGGGCAACATCTTTCGTTAGTATCAAGATAGTTTTATGTATATTTTTTACTTACGTTAAACCTAAAAAAAAAAATTTCGTGTAGTTTTATTTAGCATGTTCTAGACCTCGTGAAGAAATTCTCTCCGTACGATTTTGAAGAAAACGTCATGTTCAGAACTGTTTGCAACATGACCTCGGACGATGTTTTGTCAAGATGTATCGAGTTCATCAAAAGTAAGTCGCCGGAAAAGACAAAGACAACTTTTATAGCACACAAAGATGCTGACTTGTGCAGATATAGGTACAGATTTGTTAGATGAGTAACCAATTGATCTTATTTCGTCCCCCCCACCCCCAACCCCCTTCATGCTACCAGATCAACTTTATTTTGCCATACTACAGCAGAAAATCAAGAGCACATCTGACCGACACTGTTTCTGCATTGATGAAGAGCTCGCCTACGAGAAGTGAGTATTCTCATGCTTCCTTTGCTTTTTAAACATGTTCTGGATGCAGATTGAATGTTAAACTGTGTCAGTAGGGAGTGTCTTTTTTTCCAGTCTGGGTACAAAGGTCATCGAATGCAGATCAGGCCTAAATTTAACCTTCTTCTGTTTCTTTTTTTTGCTTGTTTGTTTTTGGTAGATGGCCTGTGCAAAGTTGCTAGTGCAGTCTGTAAAGTATAACTGTGATGGATGTGATAGTCCAGACACTGAGCTGCACAGCTTCTGTTTTTAGCAGGACCCAGCAAAGGAGTCAAAGAGCCACTCAAAGAAAGGAGCACAAAATGTTGTCTAATAATTAAATGCAAGCTTGTGGGTCAGTTGCTGCAGTCTAATGTCGAAGCATAGCTACAGATCACCAAATAATCTAAATTAGCTGTCTGGTTTTCTTCAATTGGAAAAAAAAAAGACAAGGTTACAGCTGCAAACTTTACTTTGCATGCTGATTTCGGTACCAAAACTTGGTAATAATTATAATTTTGTAAGTTAGACACGACTTTTCATCGATAAAAACATCCAGTGTCTCCCGAGAGAATTGACCAAAGTTCTTACTTCACCTGAAATACTCCCTTTTTTAATCTCACTAGCTCTTTTTCATTTTCTTTTTGCCTCAACTCTTCCTCTGTGTTCTTCCCGTCCAGAATTAAAGCCTGAATTAATAAGTCACATGCTAACTTTTTAAGTTCCTCATTTTAAGATGTGATGATAAGTTAATAGAAACAAGCAGTCAGTTCATTCAGTGTGTAGGCAGAGGGAGCTGGTTGTGTGATCATGGCTGCCCTGGAATCGGTCTAGTCCAAGATGACTCTGTTGGTACAGCTTTCCAGGAGAAGAATGAGAAGAGTGACAGTTTTTGCATATTGGAAAAGTGAAAGTCATAATGAAAAATCAGTTTATCCACTGTAGTTACACATTTTTCCTGTTTTTGTTACTTGTTTAGCTGTACCCTCAGAAATCTTTTGCTGTTTACTTTACTTCATGCACACTGGAACAAATCCACAGTGGCAGAAAAGAATAGTCCGGATCCACTCACTCCTTATTCCATGCATTAAGTTGCACACCTCCCTTATTTTGAGCTACACATAGTATAATCAAAAGTCTGCACGTTTTTCAAAAACAGTGTAACCTCTTTAATTGTGAGGCAGATGTATAGATTATTTTTTCCAGATTTTCCCTGTTTTGATATAGAAAAAAAATACCTCAAACACTATTTAGAAACAAAATCTAATACATGAATGCTGAAAAAAAAAGCCGAATATTAACTGACACTGCCACAAAATGGCATAATCCACTTTAGAGGGGTTTTAGATAGTGGAAGAATGTATTTGTGCAGACATGACTGTTATTAATGTAGTATTACATTTATGAAAATTTAGAATATGTTATCCTGCCCTTCCAACATGCCTTTTTACCTAATTTTCAGATATCCAAGTCTTAGAAGGGGTCAGACAACCCCCCCCCCCCTTCCCCTCATGTAATTCGACTCATCTGCTGGTTAATGAATTATTTTTGTTCTTTGCCCTTTGCCCATTTACTTCTTAATGTGCAGGACATTATATTTCAAATGATCTACGGATAATATTAGAGAAGCATTTAGATGCATATTTCCACCCTGTAGGGATCGGCTGATTGGCTTCCATATATCTTGTTTAATTTGAACTTACTTTTTAACACGTCTGCTTTATGATACAACGCTTTAAATATTAAAGGATCTCACTTTTTAATGTGGAAAACCATTGGAGTACTTAAGAGGTGATTAAGCAAACAAACACATTTTCAGCCCTGCCTTTGCAGCTCCATGGCCGGTCATGAATAGCATTTATTCATTCATGTTGTTCAGAGAGGATGAGAAGGATGTTGCTGGTTTGTCTTGTGGCTTTTTAAAAAAAGCTGTTGTCACTGCAGCTTTTTCTGCTGTTCTCATTGACCCACTCCACCATCAAACGTTTCCATAAATAGCCTCTTCTCCACTCAGTGTTTTCAGCATGTTAGCATGTGGTAGCCGATTCTGTCTGATGAAACTACCCACGAGATGGAGGCTGGCCGCATGAATAGCCCCTCTGACACACTCATCCTTTCTTCTCTCCTCTCCTTCTGCCAGCTTCTATGCAGACTTTGGTCCCCTTAACCTGGCCATGTTTTATCGCTTCTGCTGCAAGCTGACAAAGAAGCTTAAGGTAAAGTAAACTTCAGCTGTTAATTAAACTTCCTGGAATGAGAATGGGAAGAAAAGCGCAGGTCAGTCAAGATTTTTCGGTATTCTTGCAGTGAGCTGGAGACGGTAAAGTGGGTTTACAAGTACTTGTGTGCACCATTAAGATGTTTTGTTGCTTAGCTGAAACTGCTGCAGAGGTTAAGACTAAGACGATTCAGCTTCTCTGCAGTCATAATGCTGCATTTCAGACGGTACATCTGAAATGCTGTATTTTTCTTTCTTTTTTTTAATTTGCAGAATATCTAACTGCGTTACAGTTACAATTTCCTCAACGCATTCTTTTATCATTTTTTGGTTTCTGCAAGTATAGATAAGATAGTTATAAGGCTGTCACTCCAAATGAGGACAAAATGATTGACTCTTGCTGTTTCTACCTATATGTTTAAATAATATGATCACAGCATATTTTTTCTTTTTTTTTAGTCCATTACGCTGTCAAAGAAGAAGATTGTTTTTTATACATGTGGAGATCAGAAAAAACAAGCCAATGCTGCCTACTTGATCGGCTCTTATGCGGTAAGTTTTGCCCAACTGTGCACATAACATTAGTTTTTCCTATTAAAACATGTTATTAGAAACACTTTGACAAGAAGACATCTTTTGAGAAAACCTCTGTCTTCATAGGTAATGCATCTTAAAATGATGCCAGATGAGGCCTACAATCTGCTGGTGTCAAGAAACTCAAACTATATTCCCTTCAGGTAATATGAGGACAGCTGAAGGCATGTGGTCCATGTTGTCTTTGAATTTGCAGACAGTGTGAGAGCACAGTTGGCTATCAAGTCAAAGAATGCTTTCCTTTGATTAAATATTCCTATGTTTTTATATTTTACAGAGATGCATCATTTGGAACCTGCATGTACAATCTCAACATCCTAGATTGCCTCCGAGGAGTTCACAAAGTATGCCAACTGAGAACAGATTTTTTTTCCTCTCTTCTCATCATGGTTTTAATAACTTTCTGTTCCTCTCAACCTTCCGCCAGGCTCTCCAGTATGGCTGGCTCGACTTCTCCAACTTTGATGTTGAGGAGTATGAGCACTACGAGAGAGCAGAAAATGGTGACTTTAATTGGATCATTCCAGGAAAGTTCCTGGCTTTCAGTGGGCCGCATCCAAAAAGCAAAATAGAAAATGGTAATTGGAGGGCAGTACAGGACTATTGGTTTGCTCAGCTTAACACTTCGTGAACTCATGAAAAATGTTGTTTTCTTTCGGAAGGGTACCCTTTGCATGCTCCTGAGGCCTACATCCCCTACTTCCGGAAACACAACATCACCACCGTTGTCAGGCTCAACAAAAAGATGTACGATGCCAAACGTTTTACAGACTCCGGCTTTGAACACCACGACCTGTTCTTTGTGGACGGCAGTACGCCAAACGACTCCATTGTCAGGAAGTTCCTCAACATCTGTGAGAACTCAGAGGGAGCCATCGCTGTTCACTGCAAGGGTGAGGACGCTGGTCCAGGACACTTGGAGCTCTAAAAGCTCTGCTTGGTGGTTGAATCAACAAATAAGAACATGTTGTTCTTTTCAGCTGGCCTGGGGAGAACTGGTACCCTGATTGCCTGCTACATGATGAAACATTATCGCCTGACCGCAGCAGAGGCCATTGCCTGGATTCGGATCTGCAGACCCGGGTCCGTCATTGGGCCACAGCAGAACTTTGTTGAAGAGTACGTGTTCGCTGAAGTTTTTCTCTCTTCATTTTTTTTTATGTTTGAAGAATAATATTATTCTTTTTCTTTTTTTTTCTTTAATTAGATTTTTATGTCTGCCTTGATAAACGAGGTTTGAGTGCTTTTAGGAAGGATCTAATCATAATGGGGACTTCTCTCATGTGGTGTGAGGAATATTGATTCTGAAGGCGGTGAATTGTTTGACATCTGACCTGAGTTTTGATTGAATTCTCAGGAATCAGAACGGTCTGTGGGCAGAGGGAGATGGGTTCCGCGAGAAGATGCTGAATGAGCGAGAGAATGGCAAGTTGGCTGTAACCAGGATCCTGTCGGGGGTGGATGACATCGCCATCAACGGGAACAACAAAAACAGGACATGCGAAAAAGAGGATATTGAACTCGTGAGTTTGCCACATCATTTTCCCTCCATGCTTTCAGGCAGAGACTTTGGTCCAAACAAAAGCACAGCACTTCTTTTGGCAAAAACCCACACAATGGCACACCACTGAGTCTGCTCATTGCCTGTGTTCTGTTTGACAGTACAACGATGAAGAGGAGAGAAACGGCCTCACGCAGGGCGACAAACTACGGGCCCTAAAGAGCAAACGGCAGGCCAGGTCCTCTTCAGGTTCCCTGTCGTAAGTATCACGGCAGCCTGCAAGCCTCATCACGCATCACTCCCACATGTGTTGTTGCCTTAAATCAGCTGTTTCTCCCATTATCAGTCCCTGGGATCACTACTCGGACACTTTTTCAAATCCTGTGTAAGCTAATGTTTGTAAGACCAGAAAGTGACCATGTAAGAGTTTGTTACATTTGCCATTTCATCAGATGGGCTTCCCATTTTCTCCCCTTTAGTCAGGATGGTAGTCTTTAGGCATGCTTAAACTGTTACAGCTGCTCTCCTTGAATCTAATTGTTTCATCCTATTTTCACATTTCATCCATGGGTAAATCAGGCAATGTTAACATAAATGTAACCTCTTTTTCTTTGTCTCTTTTGGATCTATTGGATTCATGCCAACACGTGCAGTCTGCATGTAAAGGCTTGCCCTTTTTTTATATTTACTCATGGAGTGGCGAGGATGATCCAGAAATCCAAGTGGCTGTAGCTCAGATATTACGACACAGAGTCAGTGACAGTTGTTTGCCACACACTCCTCCAGAGAACCCTTTGTCGACAGCTGGATTTAAAAAGGCACAAAAGATGTGGAGGTTAAAGCTTATGACATTTTGAGCTCATGATGTGTAAGCCTTCTTCAACCAAACTTCATAGATGTAATGGGAAACGTATGTAGGTCAGATCAATGAGAGTGTGTTAGTCTAGCTTATCAGGTCAGACTGTCCAATAGGTAACTTGGCCACTAAAGTGTTTACAATAGATAATCTATTTATTCAGAGTATATTTAGACCAAGCATATAAGTGAAAAGGTCATTAGTAACAAGGAGAAACAATATATTTTAACACTTTTGCACAGAATCTCATCCGTGAACACAATACTTTCGATATGATTTACTGACTAAATGATCAAAAAGACCCGCCATATCTCAAGGGACGAGTTGATGATTTGAAATCCACAGCCAGCCAGGAGCAGGTTTACAATGTAGTTAAACATTAAGCCTTCGCTGTGTAGCTTAGGAAATCATTATTGGAAATGTCAGACTACAGACATGTTCTGAAATGAAAGAAAAATCAGTTCCATCCTGCTGCAAAGACATTTTTTTTAACAAAGCCATTTTTGTAGGTTATAGTATGTAATGGTGTCAATCATTAATTGGAGAGGTACGCCTGGACAACGGTGCAAAAAAATAGTGCTAAAGCTCTCCCTCTGCAGACCAGAAGAATCACAACAATGGCTTCTTTCGTTCCATCTTCAGCTCACATCTTTTGTGCCCCTCTAAACTAAGCTGAGGAAGGCCGGGTGTTAGCGAGGCTGAGGATGGTTAACTGTCCTCTGCCCATGAACCCACATGGCTTTGGCTTTTGTTATTCCATGTCAGGCAGGTGGTAGTGTTCTGCTGCAGCCTCATGGGCACGGCGTGGCCGATGTGCTGCCTGCCGTTCAAAAGATAGCTGAGAGAGGCAGAGAAAGAGTGGGGGAGAGGAAAAACAGAGAGAGGAAGTAAGGTTCTGTATGATGGAGGTAAGTGCACATCACTTCCTATCCAGCTGACATCCTCTTCCTGTAGTCATGGTTGCTATGCCAGCGAATGGTATGGCTATGGAATGGCTGATTTTTCAAGTTGTCCTGTTTTTGTTCCTCTCTTTCTTTCTCCGGATGACTGTGGTGTGAAGTGGATATGCACTTTATCACACCTTTACATTATCTGCCTCATGGACACACCGAGCCGTTGTGTTTAGATATCAAGGCATATCCGAGATATCGTCCCCGTTAGAATGATGCACTCAAGTCGAGGCCACTGTTCTTAAGAGCTGCACCGCTTGTTCAACTAATCACAGTTTTGAATAAGATCTGGATTAGTTGAATGAAATGTTTATCGCTGTTGGCTTGCACAACTGACTTTGCACTACAAAAGCCAGAATGTTAAAGGGCATTTGAACTCCACATCTCTTTTTAGGAAAGAATCCAACTGTTAAGCTTGTAGGTGTTCTGATTATTATTTTCAAATAGTTATTTGACTTTCAAAGTCCCGTTTTGATGGTTTAATTTTTGCCTCTTTAAGACTGTGTGAGGATAGGAAATTCCTCCTGATCATTATTATCATATAACGGATAAGTGTGAACTTCTGAGCAGGTATCAGGGGAAAAAGCGGACTCTTATTCATATTCAGGAGGAAGTTGAGGCTGACGAGACGTGCTTGCACTTTAGGCCATATGCTTTATGGGTGTATGTGTTGTCACACAGACATCTAATATCCAGCTCATCTGGCTCCACTGTTTGTTTTGTTATGTAACACTGAAGTGCATGTTGAACTCTGGGAAAGATTAGAGTAGTTCTTATCCAAACTTTTCCACATCTTTTCTGCCTTTTCCTGCATGGCAACAGGCCCCAAACCCTTGGACATGCACGCAAAGCACATGCCACTGTTCGATCTGTGTTTGTGTCTAACATGTAATTATTTGGGCTGGGATCATACCAATTGCCTGTTGTCTTTCCATTGCTTTAATGACTGGATCAGTGCATTCATCCCACCTGAGATTTGACTTAAGGTTTTCATCTCTGCCAGCTTCTCTTCAAATTACTTTTTTTTTTAGATACAAATAAATATAGGTTATTTAAGCCACATTCTTGTGGGTGTGATTATGAATTTTAAGAGCAAAACCAATATATTGGCAAATCCGTTTTTTGGGTTGGGGGGGGCTGTGGGGTGGGTCAAATGTTCCAATTACTTTTCATCTAGTAGTGTACAACGATTTAAGTTTCATAGCTTACAAATGTAACATGAGACAAGTTAGCACATCGTTAAGGGGAGAAGAAAAACGTACTTTCTGGCACTGGTGGAAGCAGGTTTTTATGACGGGTGTTTCATCTTATCCAGTCCCAGTGGAACAGCACAACATTAGAGGCTTTGTGTCTTGCCCAGACGTCTGTTGTCTGTCCTTCCTTTTTTTTTTCCTTTTTTCCGTTAGCTCTTGTTGTTGGATTTGTCCTCCTTTCAGATGGCTGGTAGCCATGCTGCTCTCCTCCCTGTGTAGCCTTGCCCTGTGGTGGATTGTGTATGGCTTCCCTTCTTCCATCCTGCATTTCTGTATAGACGGGTTAGGATTTCAATGAGTTCCGCTGCCCATCAGCCCCCCCAAAACCTGTCCTGCCCCTCCTTCTGGAGCTCTAACTGAGAATGCTGTAAGTGAGCCCCTGGTCTCTTCTTAATTCCCAACCCAAATCAGAAATTTGTTCAAAACCATTCTCTTATTACTTTATTCTTTCTGTAAATGCAGTAAACTTGAAGCTTGAAAAAAAGAGACAGATTTTTAAAAATCTGAATCATCAGAGGCTGCTGCCCTGTTCTTGTCATCATTTCTGCACATTGTGATTTTGAACCAGACATTCTCATCTCATATCACCTTTACACATCATGCTTTGCTGGTTAATGTGTTAACTGCAGTGCCAACTGTAACAATGACTAAGCAGTTAAGCCTTCTTTATGACAAGATCTAATTAAGCATTTTTTTAATGCCTCTTGGCCTTTTCTGGTCCTTAACATGGCTGTGCTAATCCAACCTGGCTGCTAAAGGCAATACTGATCTGTTAACAAGCCTACACCGATCACATTTTTAAAAACTTTCTTTCCCATCTTCATGCAGTTTTTCCCCTTTTCTGCCTTCACTCTGTCATGATTTTCCACCTTAAACTTTCATATGTTTATGTCATGTCGTTATCTTCACAGACAGGAAGAGAACAAAATACACACCAGGTCGTCGTCGCAGTCCCTTAGGTAAAATACGGCAGAAGGAAAATCCCACAGACGGCACGTCACAGGCTAATGAATGGTGTTCATCTCCTATGCAGCAGGGTCATTATGCAGGATGGCGTCCAAGGCTGCAACACCAGCGTGAGCCCCCTGGCCCTGTCTGACCACTCAGACAGCAGGAAAAGAACCAGAACCTCTCTGCCAGCCAACGGAGTTGGAGGAAGGTCAGTAGGAGATGACGCGTAATGAAACAGAGCAGATGCCTCTTTTTGTTGTTGTTGAAAGCCAGTATGAGTAGAAGTAGCTTCATCTGTTATGATCTCACATAGAAACTGTGCTGTTGGCGTTGACACAGATGAGACGCAGTCAAGAAACTATAGCCACTCATGGAACTTTGTAGACGACATTAACAGCTTCCCTTCTCTCTGCCAGCTCCCTGTACCACACCAGACTGGTCAGATCCCTAGGCAACTTGCATGTTGTGGCTGACAGCAGAGACCCAAAGTGTTGTGAGCCATGTGGCAGCCATAGAGACACGGCCACCCTCATCAACTTAAACATGGCTCAGGGACACCTGCAGGCAAGCTCCCTCAGACGCACTCTGAGCCTTATGGAGACTGAGGCTGCGTTTACTTACAAAGCCTAGAAACTCGTTTTGAAAAAAAGAAATGCAAGATTACAAAATAAGTTCTGGTTTTTAAAATGGGGAAAAAAAGAGGAGTGAAATGCAGACGTTTGGGCAGGCCAGAAAATGTGAGGTTGCATCATTTGACTTTCGAGTGGACTTAAATCTGAAAACTTGTTTTTTGGAAAGACCAGTGAGACCTGACTGTGGTATTCACGTCAGGATTTTCTCAGAATTCCCACAATATTGGAGCCAATTCATTCATTTTTTACCCTGTAAAATATCAATTTACAAAAGATTCAAATGTATCTTTTGGACTTCAGGTCCTTGTAAATCCAGTCAGAAGTCCAGAGGCTCTGCATACTCACCTTTTCTACCCTTTAAGATTTGTAATCATGTGATGTGCTTTGACTGGGCTGCATCAGCATCAATGTCAGTGTGTGATTCATGTTGTCCTGCTGACAAAGCAAAATTTCCAATTATATGTTTACATTACATACTGTGTAAATGCATGTTTTTGTGTTTATGCGACAAACGCCTACAGCTCCAACCAAACTCCTCAAGGCTCAGATTACTTGGTCAATCAAACAAATTGATTCATTTTTTAAAAGAAAATTGCATATGGAATATTTTATTTTTAAATACAATGCTGTTGTTGCTTGGCATGGTTGAGTTTAAATGGAGTAATGGTGCAGCCCAGACAAGGCTCTCTGCTCAGACGCCTGACATTCTGCTGCATTGAGCCTGAACTTGAGCACTTAGAATCCTAAACCTAACAGCTATCTTGGTCTCTAAACTGCTTCTTTTAATACTTCTCAGAGGTCTCTTTTGAAGGGTGACTGGCTATAGCTTTTCTGGACTCTGCTGCTCAGTGTGATCTGCCTCTGTCATCTTGTTGACATCCTTTACATCCTGTACTCATCCACGATGCCCCTAATTTCTATTTCCTTCTTTCTTACATGCAACAGACGCACTGTCTCCAGAGGGCGCAAAGCTTGCAACTCTTTGCAATCAATTAGATTTTCCAGGCTATGGTATCTATCTCCTCATTTTCTTACATTTTCATTTAAACATGATTAATTATTTACCAGATACATTGATGGTTGAATTATCTGTGCCCAATTGCTGATAATTCTGTTTTCTTTTATAGCCACTCCATACCCAAAGCTAGAGGTCCATTACTTCGGTGAGCCTGTGGACTTCTAGGGAAAGCCAACTTTGTATTGTTTTTTTTATTAAAAAAGTTGGAAAACATTTAATCAACGTCAAGTGTTATACCAATAAGGCACTTTGATTTAGTTTAATAGTTTCATTGCCTGGTTGTACCCACTTACTAAAGCATGCAGTAGCAGATATCAGATTTAACCATATCCATCAGAGCAGCATGTGAATGTGTAGATCTGAGAGATTCCCTCCAAGATGAGCACTGTGCAGCAGGCAGTCTAAGACTTGCTGATGGATTTTTATCTGGATTTAAAATGGAAACCTACTCTTTTGTAATTGGCACAAGGTAGAGATTTCTTTTTTGTAAAGAGAATATCTCAAATGAAAGGTTATAAAAAGGTGAGCAGATTTGTATAGTCATTATCCAACTTGTATTCCTGTCAAGCTTCTTGTACTTCAAAACTGTACATATGCCAACTTTTAATTATACTCTGTAAATATTTTGTACTGTTGGTATCATGCCATGGTGTGGACCTAATGGGGCCCTGTCAATAAGTCTTCATAATCCACTAGACATTTGCTTTAAGCACAGAAGAGTTTTTAAATAAACTTACCCTCAGATGTCACCCTGGTCAAGAGTGTGTCATTGACTGGCTTGATTTGTGCCTTGATGGCGTTTTATATTTTGGCACTATATGAATAAAATGGAACTAAATCGTGTAATACTTAATCCTGCTGTTTTTTTCCTTATCACATGCATTTATTTGCTGCTAAAACAACCATTGAAACAGTCCTTATCCTGTGTTTGGTAGAATTAAACCCTACATACTTTGAATAAGAAAAAACAACAACTTTGCAATAGATTTATTGATCAGTGCATTTAGTGCCACCGAGGTAAGCAAGAGGTAAAGAGGTGAATGTAGTTATTTTCCAGCCGTTAGGGCTGGGAAGTCTTCTGGATCGTCAGGATTTGGTGCCAGATCATCTTCCTAGTGAGAAGAGACAAAATCTAAATCTTAAAGAAAGCTGCCTATGTAAATTCCCAAGTCACAGTGGTTCTATCCCAAAATAAGCTAAGTTTTAATATATTTAAGAAGAGCACAGTGACTTGTCAAAGTTTAAATGAGGATAACTCATTGTGCATCAAACTGGTAACATACCCTCTCCATCGTGGGTTCAACCCTTTCCAGACGAGTACTCTGGCCACCTCGTCCTCCCCTTCCTCGCCCACCGCGGCTCGGCCGTCCCAGACTGCCAAAGTTGATGTTCAAGAGGGAGGTGATGTCATTCACAGACCTGCGCAAGTAGTGTGCATCATCCTCCAGAGTGTCTTTTGGGTTCTGAAAAGAGAAAAGCAAGTTGTAGTCATACAAAACCTAAGGCCATCTGCAGTTGGAAGCAACTCACACAGAAACACAGAAACAAATCCCATGAACAGGTTCCCCACCTCCAGGTGCTTGGACTGGTGGATGACCTTGGCTTTGGATGGGATCTTGTCCTCTCCTTTGCGGATATTAAACTCCGCTTTGGGACGACTCATCTCCTGCATGGTCTTCCACTCATCTAGGGTCATCTCCATGGCAACCTGGACTACCATCTCTTTGTCTTCATCTGAGGCGCTATCGTAGTTCAGGCAAACCACATTTGTCGGATTATTTTTTATCTTGTCTAACGGCAACTAAATGACTTATGATGCTGCAATTCAAGTGAAATCTGAGCAATGAGCTTCACCTTCCAGTCCAAATTCCTCCAAATATCAATTTTGGTATACGTCTCAGTTGAATCATAATTCTAAACATTCTATCCTATGTATCAAAGATATCCAACTCACGGATGCAGATTCTCCTCCACACCAATTTGGGGCTCCTCAGATTTGACAGTGGCCTCAGATGTCACCTCCATCAGCTCACTTCAGACACATATGAACCAAATCTAGTGTCCGTTGTGCAGAAGTAACAGTAGTCATTTCCACATCCCTCTTCACTTACCTTGCCGCTTCCTCAACACAGCCCCAATTCCAGGGTCCTCTGCCTCCTCTCTTTTCCTCTGGAGAGATACCTCTGCAACCAGAATTGTGTCAAAACACCATCATGACAAAATTTCAAAGGCAGCTGTTCAGATCAGATTGTCACAATGACAGAGACTTACGTTCCATTGTGTCGGTCAAATTCCCTTTTTCCTCTTGGATTGAACTGATCAGGGTTCCTTGTGTATCCCCCCCCACCTCTTGATCCTCTCCTGCCTCGGACCCCGCCTCTACCCCTGAGGTCGGAGTTGTCATTATAGAGGGGCCTGGCAACCAGAGATGAAGACAGTTCATTTGTGACACAGCACCAACAGTTCAGTCCCAATTAAAGCAGGAACAGGAAAGTTTCCATGCATCATCATGCCAGAGACGAGTGTTCCACTCCAATGCAAAGAGCAGAGTTCTTTGTCGGTTCCTAAACAGGGAGGATTGGGTATTTTACATTACCAATAAACAAAGGAATACAAAAACCAGATGACAGATTATGCCAGGAACGATGATAAACGGGAATATGAATGTATCAAGACACTGTTGGTGTATAAGAGATACTGCAAACCTATGACTGACGGTGTTGGTTAATAGCCAAAGTCCTTGGGTGTAAACAGAAATTGTATCCAAATCAAAATATACCTGGCTAAATAAGGGCCTGCACACAACAATGCACAGTTCGCACAGTTCTTGATGAAAGGGATGCATACTTAGCGATGGAGTACTCCAGAGGCTGCTGCTCTTGGGTGACCCTCCGTTGCCCGGCAGCGGCCTTCCTCGTGCCCCTGTTGGCCTCCTCCCTGCTCTCAGCCACTGGTGCATGGCCCACCTGCTGCTTGTACACTAAGGAGAAAAGTGAGAGCTGCTCATGTGTGTTTTTTTGTTTTAGCATACAATCTTTTGGACTGGTAAGGTAAATTAAGAGGGGTATAGAAAACTGTGTGTGTGTATATATATATGCTTTTTTTTTTTTAATTTATAAATAAAAGGCACTGGTCCTGGTTGCACCTGCACAGAAGTGGATTGGACGACTTTATTATTTGACTACTGGGCCCCATAGGCAGCAGACAGGGCCCGGACACAGACGGTTAGCTTACCGGGGACCTGCTCCGGACCATCCAACGCCATCGGCAGGCGTCTGTCCTTCTGGGACTCCTTCTCACCCGGCTTTTTCTGCTTCCGTTTCACCTCGTCGTCTTTCTTCTTGTTCTTATTCTTCTTCTCCTTCTCGCACCGCACTTCGTTGATCAGGTCAAGCGGGTCAGCGTCGTCGTCGTCGAGAAGGTTCCCGAACCTGTTCGCCACCACGCACCCGAAGGCGTCCGGCAGCATTTTAACCTGCGTGTGATGGACAAACTGTCATGAAAAAGGGGTTGTATTTCCTGCTAGGCCTGGATTCAGATATTGTCTCTATCTATATGGGAAGTTTAAAAAAAAAAAAAAGCACAAGTGGAGCACCGTTTTCCAGTCCTGCAACGACCAAACATAGAGGTCCGTGGACAGATGAGCCGTCCACATTCATCACAGCCCTCCCAGCAGCCTTTGGACAATTTAAACGTTTGCACGTGCGGCTGGCAGCGAGGCCACGCCCCTATGGTCGCTAATTGGCCACCTTCATTCACTGATCAATACACAGAGCCCAGGCACCAGGTCCTACTCAGAGTGGGTGGATTACTTGGCAGAATGAGTAGAATAATGCTGCTAAATTGGTCCAAAACCCTGAAAAGTTTAGTTTCTAAGCTGGGTAAAAGACCTTAAACTAATTGTGGTCTGAAGCCAGCTGTTATTCTCGTTACCAAGCAGATATTTTTTGCCCTAACTGGAATAATTCAGCTCAAAACTCAGATTTTTTCAGGGTACCCCCCAGTCCAAAAAGGTCCCTGTTTTCTCCTGTTTTTAATGGTTTTATGTATGGCCTATTATAATATCAGTCTGGTAGACAGCAGACTTTGGTTAGGCCTTTAGTATGAAAAAATAAATATATATATATTATACATATTCACATAATTAGACATTAAAAAAGCTCTGGTATTTTTCTTTGTATAGCTCAATGGCTGCCAGGTAAGGCTATTACTCCATCGTTGGCATTATACTCGATTAGTCATCCTTTCGACTTACGTTGCTGCCATAGGCCCGAGGGATATTCTACTGCCAGAGGGAAGTGAAATCCCTCCTGTGTTTTCTATAAATAATACTGTTGGAAATGGAAAAGGGATTCCATCTAAGAACCACAGAATAAAACACAAAGCCAGGTGTTGCACGGGCAAGTATTGTGGTTGTTTTGCATTTGTGAGGTTGCTTGTTTAAGCGTTCCCTTTGATGCATGATGAAGTGTTTTTTGATAAATATGTCTCCCATGTGTCAAAATCTTGTGCGAACTATTAGATCCTACCAGAGGGTTTTCCATGGCTCTAATATTGCTATGTCAAAACCTAACTGATTTAGAAAGAGCAGTCTCAGATTTAAAAAAGCCAGCTTACATGCTATTCAAGACCTGAAACACCGTAGGTTACAAGACTCTCAACAAAATAACACCATTCAGGATACAAACGAAGAAATATGAGATATTCTATTCATCAACCCCACATTATAGCTGACTCATATAATGTTTGTATGTCGAATGACTAAATTAATGTATTCCAGATGATGATTCCACCACATGTTCTTAATTTTATGATATATATGTAAATTATTTATTTGACATAGAAGTCAAGGGTTTCTGGAATGATCGAACAGTGTTATTTGATTGGCTAGTCAAACAGAATATTGATACTTTTACTAACACATGGACTGAATCAATAATAAAAAAAAGATTCCAACTGAACCAAGTATCTTCTTGCAGGTTCTTAGTTAAATGGTTATAGAATAACTTAAATTAGTGCAGCTCTAAGATCCATCCTTTTACTTTTTGGGGAATAAAATGATAACTCATTAAATCATCTCCAGGAGATGAGGGTACATTTGTTGAGAAACTCACCTAGTGACCAGGGTAAAACTATACATTTTGGGTTGATATTTAAAGTGTTCGAGCACTCTCGAAGTTGCCATGATGGGTGTTTTGTGAATGCATGATAGGAAACAGAACATGTAGAGACTGAATGGCCTCCACTAGATGAGCAGTTTCTTTTACGGGCACTGTTGTTGGGATTAAATGAATTAACTAACTAATTTTCAAAAAATGAATACACCACATTGACAATTAATACAATACATACCTCAAATGGACACATTCAGCTCTTTTCAGAGAGAACCTAAAGAAAACATTCCTATAGGAATGTTTTCTACCATAACAAATAACAACTAACCACTAACTGAATACTGTTCAGTTGGATGCTGTTTATTTACTCATGTGGCAATAGCATCATATTTAACTTGGAATGAATGAAAGAAAATAATTAATCAATACTATTTAAAAGGGGTTGTATATAGAAGAGACAATGAAAGGTTATCTTCCATGTTAATAACAACGGTTGAATAAAATCACCTATTTGTGAGTTTCTGTTTCTATTTCACTCACACAGTAGGCCCTTTGTCCAAGTATTTCCGCCTTATATTGATTACGTAACTTTGGCGCCTCTGGGCCCTGGTTTCCCTTTAAAACCAGGAAACATGTAATAACATAAACAGATTCTTCAGCGCGGGAAAGAGCCATCTGTTCGCCTGCTCGCTAAAGTTAGCCGCCCTTTACTCTCATTGGCTATGCCATGCCATCTGCCCGTCCTTATTGGTCAACGCCGGCGTCGACTTCCCAGAGCGCGCACAAAGTGTTCAAATCTCATTGGACGAAATGGCCTGAGCCAATCGCCGCGCACCTGCTACTCTCCCTGTTGCCATAGGCTCACGAGGACGGCGCTGGTGCAGCCGGGTCTGACTTACGATTGGTTGATTTCAGCATGTAGATTGGATTCATGCAGTTAATTGGTCGCTTAACGGCTCGGGCGCGAGTTTGCAACGCGGGACGGCAAACTCAGTCTCATTCAGAGGTCCTCCCGGTCCGGTAACTGGTGCTGATACATTGTACCGAATCGCGGTTATTATTTTCCCCAGTGGAAATGAAGGACGTATTTACCCCGGATTAGACAGTAGCGTTATTTATTACATTCGCTCGTCGTTTTTAGAGGCGGATACTTTTATAAGATTTTAAAACATTTCGGCGTTTTTTTTTCCCCCCCCCCCCCCCCAGAAAATCAAACTATGGCCGACAGCAAGCACCCGCACGTTATTTTCTGCAACGACTCGCCTAAAAGAGTTTTGGTGTCTGTCATTAAGACAACCCCGATCAAACCGAGGAAAGGAGATTCCCTGACCCCGACGAGCCCCGGGTTCAGCGACTTCATGGTCTACCCGTGGAAATGGGGGGAAAACGCCCACAACGTGACCCTGAGTCCGGGCTCCGTGAGCGGGGACTCGTCCCCCACCGGGACCCAGGCGGCCAGAGAGGCGGACACGGCTCCGTCGCCTGACCAGATCAAGGTAAAAAAAACCCCCCAAAAGATCATATATCTTTACGTGTGAGTGTGTCTATATTTATTAAATCGTTCTGAAATGACCTGGTCCTACTGTGACAATGTTGTGCCAACGCGAGCATTTGGTTATTAATATTTGTAATAGCGATCATTTTAACATACTTATAACACCATATGTGATTGTAAAAGCTTAAGCGTAACAGCTCATTATTACTCTGTCGTAGAAAGCCCCTTTACGCTAAAACCTAACTTTGAACTAACTAATTTCATGTTAAAGGATCAGCAAGACCTTAAAGAAACAGACTTTTTTTTTACATTTTTTTTTTTACAACGATGGTACTTGAAGCACATGGATAGCAGACAAGCCCCAGCCTTAACATGGCCGAAGAGGATAGTCATTTAAAAAAAAAAAAAAAAAAACGCCCGCGCATTAGGGTGTGACATTGTGGATTTTAAACCCCAGTTACTTCCTGGTTCTGGACCAGCTGCTGCCTCATGACGTGTAGGCGCGCGCCAAAAATGTAGCCGGATGTGAATGAATTGCAACGAACAGAAGAGCTGCTGGTTACAGTGTAACGTGAGAGCCTGGAAGGAGAGAATGACTGAGGGGTTACATTGTAACAAAAAAATAACTAAACCACATTGTCTTTGTTGTATATTAGTAACTTTTACACCCACTGTTTCATTTTGTATGTGAACATCTCAGTAGTTTGGAGTGAGTGTTTTTTTACTCAGTTTCTTTCTGTTTATTGCTGTCAGGATGGCATCCGCAGAGGACGGCCCCGAGCCGACACAGTCCGGGAGCTGATAAGCGAGGGGGAGACTTCTTCCAGCCGCATCCGCTGCAACATCTGCAACCGAGTGTTCCCCAGAGAGAAGTCTCTGCAGGCTCATAAGAGGACGCACACAGGTGAGCCAGACCTCCCCCAGGATCGGTCAGTTATAGATGAATAAATATGTAATGTATAACTGTGTCAGTTATGAGCGTTTGTGTCTTGAATACTTTATATGATGAAAAAAAGGGGGGGGGAAAGAACCACTTGCAGTTAACCAAAAGATATCCAAACTGTTTTACCTTTCTTTTCCAGGAGAAAGACCCTACTTGTGTGACTACCCGAACTGTGGGAAGGCGTTTGTCCAGAGTGGTCAGCTGAAGACGCACCAGCGGCTCCACACTGGGGAAAAACCCTTTGTCTGCTCAGAGAAAGGTAGAGTTGGCTAATACCTCAAATGCGCTGAAGGTTTAGCTGCCCTTTACTTTGGGGCACTTTTAGGTACTTTCCAAAAGCATGAAATGTGGCTCAGTTATTACCAGCAACTGGAGCATTTAACTAGCTGTGTATTACTTGGAAAGTACCTAAAAATCATGATGACAATAAAATAATAGAGATGCCTTCTTTCCTAATAACTACCTTAATGTCTTACAAAATAGCTTGAAAAGTTTAGTTTAGGCAACTGGACGTTAAGTTTTCTAGAAACTGAGCTTTTCATGACCTGGATGACTGAGAATCTTCACAGATGTCTTACGAAATAGTTTTTCCCCAATTTTTTGTTCTCCTTCCAAATTTCACATCAGCAAAGAACACAAAATCAGGACCTGTTGTGCTTCACTGCGTTTGCTCATGGCTGTTTTATTTCCACGCAGGATGTGGCAATAGGTTCACACACGCCAACCGCCACTGCCCCAAGCACCCCTACTCGCGTCTGAACCGGGAGGAGCCCAAGGCGGGCCTGGGGAAGTCCCAGTCCGTGGACAACAAGGCCGTGGCCGAGTGGCTGGCAAAGTAAGCGTGCGCGCGGGGTCCAGCTTAGCCCAAGCTCCAGAGGAGCCGCGCGCCCGTCTAATGTCCGGCCCGTGCCCCGCTTTGCCCCCGCAGGTACTGGAGAACCCGCGAGCAGCGAGCCCCGACCACCACCAAGGTGAAGCCGCAGGGCAAGGCCAGAGCGCAGGACCAGGAGCAGCAGGACCCCATGGAGTTCCTCCAGTCCGACGAGGAGAACGGGGAGGAGGAGGAGGCGGCCGAGGAGGAGAAGGCCAGCGCGGGAGGAGCGGCCAAGCGCCGCCTCCAGGAGCAGCGAGAGCGTCTCCACGGCGCCCTGGCTCTCATCGAGTTGGCCAATAACCTTTCTGCCTGATCACCCCCCCCTCCCCTCCCCCCACATATCTCCAACCCGCCTTCCTGCTCTATGTGCTGCAGTTAGAGTTGTTCATCAATGCCGATCGGCGACTAGTTTACTCTCTAAAAGTTGTGAAACCAGACTCGTGAGACCAGAGTACAGCTGAATTGGCCCCAGATCAGCGTTATGCACAAAAACACCCATTCCCCCCCTCACAGCACCAGGAAGGCACAAGCTAAAGCACCTTATTCAGCTTCCCATTGATCCTTTTTAGGCTGCTATCATTGTAGGTTTGACAACATGAAGAATGTCTTTCTTTCTTCCGTCTTCTGAAGACATAGAAAGAATACCTATTTTGTTTTTTTAAGTTGTTTCCTTTGCACTTTGGTAACGAGTTTTTTTAAGTATATTGTGAGTAAAAGAGTGTGTATGATTGTTGTATATAAGGGTGAAGCTCCGATGGACAGAGCGATACAGGGTGTGGTCAAAAATAGGAAATGTTCACTTGCATTCCAACCGTCAGATGGCCTCTCCTCGTGTTTTAAGGGTTTCATCTCTGGTGCTTTAAGATCGCCTTTTCCACCACTGATGACAACAGTGGTGGCAGAAAATGGACTGACAGTAAATAGGTTTAGCGTCACTAGTACTACTTTCTCAAAAAAAAAGAAAAGTGGGCAAGGAGTGGCAGGGGACAAGTCTGACATGCGACACGGGTCCGTTTCAAAGATGAATGCGAGATGATCATTGCAAGCCTAATCCAGAGGTATGATCATGCAGAAGCTTTCATAAAACCTGAACTTTTTACAGCCCTTTCTGCTTGTCCCAATCTACACTCGCATTTTCTATTTTGCCCAAGACTCATGGAGGCAGACAAACCTCATTGGTAGTCATTGGTCTGGATTGGATTCATTAATACTTCATCAATTTTTCACCTGTGTCTTCGTTACATGTTAAAACTAAAAGCAAAGGAAGCTTTTTTCCAACCCAATTATTGTTTTTTTGCGAGGGACGTCCGTCGTCTTTTATATTAAAAGGCGGCAGACCACTTTTGATATCAGCACGGCACCATAGCGTGCCACTTTGTCATCTCTTTTCAGTATTGAATATTGAGATATTTATTTCTGTGGCGGGCGGGGGGTTTATTTCCCGCCTGATGTTTGAGCGCTGGAATCACTATAAAAAAGGGAAATAAGCGACAAAGACCCCAAACCTGTAGAATAGCCTCCATACAGAATCTGTTCCACATTAAAACTTTGATTATGCTTGAGCACTTACATCCCCAAATACATCTTGGATTAAGCTTGCAATGCAGTGAAGATTAGATGTGCTGATTGAGTCTAAGAATATGGCATCTGTTTTTAATGAACTGATATGTGTAGTTCTGGGTGGTTTTTCCTTTTCCCCCAATTTTATAGATTTTCTTTAAAGCAACACTACATCTTTAAACACTGTACAACACCTGTAAAAGCTGTCCCGCCTCTGGTTGCCGGGGGAAACCAGCTATACTGTTCCAATCTGACATATACTAATTCCCCTTCATCTGAAACTGGAAGGCAAACAAATCCGACCATTACAATAGTAATAATAATATTAAAAAGAAAAAGCCAAATGACTTAATTTGCCCAATCAAAGTATTTTTAGAAGCATTTTTGATCCCCTACTGTTTTGTGGTTTGAGAAAATTATGGTATTTAATATATAAATGTAGTGTTTGCTAGAATATGGAGTGCGCACACTATTGACAAAGCTTTGAAGATTTAATTTTAGTTTCAGTTATTCTCCTCTGCTAACACCCTCCAGCAGTTTTCATGTTTAGGGAGATCTTGCTTGCTGGTAAACGTTTCCTTACACAGTTTCAAGTTGAGATTTCTGACAGGCTGTCCACATTGTTATATCATTGTCGATTTTCAATAAACATTAACTGAATCTGACCTGGCTTGTCGTACTTCTTGTACATTTATTCATGTTTTTTTAAATATATGAATTAAATAGCATCCATAATATATTCAGGGGGATAATTAAACATTTTTCTTAAATACACAAAAAGATACATACAGGCACCAGCTCCAACATGGAGCAGAACATTGCCACCAGGTGGTGAATGATAAAATGTCCGGCTTAAATCTTCCGTGGCGATTCTGTGCCGATGTGAATCTTATGCTCCTCCGCCCCTTCTTTGTTACCTCCAGATGATTGTGTGTTCTTAAAGGTGAGGTATGAATACACTAGTCCACCTGACATACTGTGAAGAAAAAGGTGGAACACGTGTCGTTAATGCTGCCTCCACCAGCTCCAGAGTGAGCTACGGTCAGCCGGTAAAATAAAGTTTATGAACTGACATGATACATACAGGAACCTATCAATGCTGCCCCATAAAACACGTGTCCCAAAAGGGAATTCATATTAACAGAGCATTTGATGTTTTTTGGGGAAAATTGATCGGCCACTTCTATGCTGCAGAAGATCGAAACCAGAATGGAACAATGATTTCAGAAATTCAAATGGTAATATCAAGAGGATAAAAGCACGATATGACCAGGATGTGTGCAGCCAGCCTTCTGGAAATAGAAACAGAGATGCGGCTTCCAAATTCCTCCCATGAGTAAAAAACTACAGCAGCTTTTTGCCACATATAAAAAAAAATCTGGTGCAAATTATTATAATGCATTTAAATAAATATTAGGAAAACAGAACTGCTGAGGACAGATTCTTACCAAATGCTGAGACCAAGGAAGTTAGTCCAGGAGAACAGGTAGTCTCCACCCACAAAGATGCCAATATATGCCACAGCCACATTCTGGAGAATATTTAAATCAGGACAACTTACTAAACATAAAAATAAAAAAAAAAGATTTAAAAAATCAAACACGTTCTGGCAGTTTTCTGCCTGTGATTCAGCAGAGATATATAAAACAACAACATTTTCAAAAACATCTAAATCTAGAAATATCCCAAAGCAGTAAAGTAAAAATGGAGTAACGGGCACAGATTTCAGGCAACATGTAAACTGTATTTTTCAATTAATGTTTAAACCCCAAAGAATGGAGTCTGTGTCGGACCCTGCCCTTTGGACCGGGACCACAACTGAGCTGTAGAGCAATGTGAAAAGTAAACTTGAAAATGCACTTCTGAGCTGTGTATTTGTTATTTTTGCACAAAGGTACAGAAAAGAAATCCACAAACAGTGCCAATAATGACACAAATCAAACAAACTACATAAAAACATACAAATAGCAGAAAACCTTTTTCATTTCTCATGACAAAGCCACTAACAACCTAAGGAAATTCCTAATTTTCCATTACATAAAATGCTACCCCCACCGGAGTGTTCTTACCTTTAGTGCTCCAACCACTGAGGTGGTAAGTGCTGAGTTATAATAGCTGCACAGGATTATCGAGTACATCAGGACAAACCTGAGGAACAGAAGTGAGGAACAACAATGGGGATTATGGAGGTATGGCGGGCAGAAGTGGAGGGGTGGCGTGTCCATAAGCGGGCTGTTCTTACCCCATGAAGCAGGACATGAGAAAGCAGCAGACAAATGTGACGCTGACCCAGTCCTCAAACGCGATGGCCTGTGGATAGAAACAGACAAAGCTGGTCACAGAGGAAAAGCATCCAGCTCTGGAGCAGAGACGCAGCGGTTGGTAGTCGCAGTGTGTACCTTGTGTAAATCACCAGTGAATGCACTCGCCAGGAGAGTGGGAATGACAATTATAAGTGCATTGTAAAACAAGACACCATACTTCCCAAGACCCTAAGTGGGAAAAAAACAGGAAAAGTCTAAATATGAAAGAAAACACAAACACCAAGTGAGAACGCTCCACTGTGAAGAATCTACCTAAAAACTATGGTAATATTTGTCTTTGCTTGTTGTTTAGAGATCCTGTGGCTGTTCTTTACTTTTAAAAAAAATCACTTATTTAAAATTCCCCTCACTTATTTACAAAGAATAACACAAATATAACCCATCAGTGACACGATACCACAGTATTTCTTTAAACTACGCCTGTGTGAACATTCAATTAGACGCTTTCAGGGCAAACTGTGCAAACCCAGCTGGGACCGGTACCTGATCACCAAGTTTCTTCTTGGTGTACACGCCACTGGCTGCAGTGAAGGCATCGTTGAGCAGAATGAACGTGTAGCCCTCCACGTCAAAGGCCAGGTCAGAGCTGGAAGGGGCCGTTGGAGATAAACACAGATACTTTCATTAGCTAAACGAGCAGGTCGTAAACTCAGGTTAAACTACATTTACAGGAATTAAAAAGCATACCTTGCAGCAACAATGGCTCCAAAAACTATGGCCACAACGCTGTAAATAATGTGCCTTGGAAATGTTTTTCTGAGAAGAGAAAATACTGGAATAGTGAGATAAAAAAAGGGGTTGGTCATTCACACACCACTCCAATGTATTTTTAGCCTCAGACCTTGTTCAACTGTACAAATGAACTGTTTAAAAATATTTCCAGGTAGAAGCATCAGACATTTTGTACTCCACGATCCATCCAATCCAGTTCAGTCCCAGAAGTCTTACCTTAGTATTAATCCCTCCAGGACCATTGTCATCAGTATAGTGAATTTCCGTAGGACAGTAAACATGGGTAAACTGGAAAAGAAAAATATTTTTGGGAAGACCACATCAGTTAAATACACTCAATCAAATTAGATCAAAACTGGTTCAAACCTGAGTTTTTTGGTGCTTCCCAGTCCTGTTACATGGTTTCCAATGTAAAACAAGGGAAGAGGGAAAATCTGTCAAGAAAGTGTGTATGAAAAAAGCATGAAAAGCAATAGCAAACATAAACATCAGATTGTTGTGAGAGGAGAGCTGCTTACTTTCAAGAAAATGCTCCTGTCGAAGTCTTGAAACTGCACGGTTTTGTTCGCTTTGGCCACGTAGAGGACAACAATGGTGGTGATCATCTGATCAGACGAGCAGAACGTGAGTGTGTTTGTTTTACGATACAGGGAGAGAGAAAATCCGGAGACCACCTACCTGTCCAATTCCCAAACACAAGTAGGAGGGAAATCTGCAAAGAACAGCACACAAACAGGGTTACCTCATAACCGTTAGCGGAAACGCTCTCCGCGTCCAGCCACATCAAAAAAAGACAATACAGTCTGTTTCAAATGTCAAAGGTCACTCTGGTCCTTACTGGGTCTTCAAACGAGGTGAATACGACCTGAACGACAGGACAAATTCCAACATTTCTGTGTTATTCTAAGAGACTCACACAGCGACGGGAAATAGAAAATGTTGCTTTTTGTTTCTCTTTAGCCAGGACGCCTGGTTGTTGTGGCATGGACAGCAAACTGCTGTCCATCATGATTCAACAGCTTACAGGATTGAAAGTGACTTCAAAATAACAGTTCACCTATTACTTTATCAGTCCTGTGCATCATTGCAGAGGAATTTGGGGTAACTCCTCTGTACAAACTTGCTTAGATTTGCTTGTGCACCCCTGTCCAAAGCTCCCACCATCACAGGATGTGTGCTGGTTCAAGGGCTGGATATCCTTTTTTTTTATAGCCATTCTCTTGTAGTTTGGCCATTTTTAGTGGAGTCTTTTCTCAGCTGCATGAACATCTGATTTAAGAAGACTTTGGTATGGGGAACAATTCAGTCGGTTCAGTCACTTACAAGGTGTTCAGGTTCCCATGCCTGAAAAACAAGTCAAGTTCACCCCCCCCCCCCCCTTCCAAAAGGGCGCTTGGCACTGGACATAAGATGTTGTTTGGTTCTCTCCAAATGTGATGCTGAGACTTAACGCCACTTTGTCCACTTTGTTCTGAGGATTCCAAACTCTAAAAAAGATTCTGCCAAAGTGTTACGCGTTGGAGTTTACTGAGCTTGTCCATAACTGGTTTCTACGACAACTTTAAGGTCCAAAACATTGCCAATTACGCCCCTGATGCGCAAAAACATAGGAAACGAGAGAGGGTGTAGGCTACTTCCTCTCCCCGCACAACTCCCCGGCCCCATTTCATTAAGGCCGTCAAAGCATTACGTGATGAAAAGACGGGAAAAAAAACAACAAACAAGGAACCCACCTGAAACTCGTCAGCACGGTTTTGTTCACCACGGTGATGAGGAACGAGCTGCCTGCGTAAAACACCGCGGAAGAGAACTTGAGCAGCCCGGAGTGCTCGGGACTTTCCCCCCCGGCTCCCACCGACATTCTGAGAGCACCAACACACTCCTGTTCAAGTTTTAAAAGTGGATTTTTCTCCCCTCCAGTGCGCCGAGTCTTTGGTCCGGGCTCGGATAATAGTATTTCCTGAACACATTGGCCACATAGGAAAGGGAAGGGACAGGTGGGCGGTCCTCGTACTGTTACACAATTCAGAGGGGGAGCCATGGCTGTGATCTTAACGCCCGGGGAGGGATGATTAAAGATGGAAAGTAAAGCGAAACGCGTGCCAGACAGACCCAAAAAGTTGGGCGAGTTTTGCTCAAATCTCGTTTTATGTGTCTCATTACCGGAAGCAAGAGGTAAACTTCAAAGTGTGTTTAAGTTACATCCAGGGGGAGAAAACCCTAAAGGGCCTGTTTTATTATGGTCTAAATCTGGATTACTCACCCACAAATCCACCTCAAATCTATTCAGTCTGTCTTTATTTCGGCCACATCTGGCTCCTCATAACACATGTCAGTGTCAGCTTATGACATTTGGGCCACATCTGGCTCGCCCATAAAACATGATGGAGTCACCTTATGCCATTTGGGCCACGTTTGACTCGCCGTAACACATGTTAGTGTCACCTCTTGCCATTTGGGCCACATCTGGACAACACATATGCCAATAAAACTAAGTCCACAGGATCCTGCAAGATTCTAGGTTGAATTTTGCGTTTGATCTCAAATGGTTGCAGCTTCTAACAAAAGGCCGTGATCTGAGGAAAGCCAGGCTTATGTATACAGTGCACTCATATTATTGAGCAGTCAGCAGGGACACATGTGGTAGGGATCATGGGAATGCAAGAGATGGGTCAAGGCAACATGGAAGGCAAACACCAGGACAAGGAAAACAACAAATGTAACACAAAGAATGGTAAAGAAACTCAAATCTGCTTAGAGAAGAAACTAGCCGATTCATAGCAGCGTAAATCTGACTGGAAAGAATGCTTTCAGCATACAGTCCCATGAGAGTTCCAAAATGGCGGAGTGGAAATAAACAGCAGCTTCTGTTCAGCAGCAGTGTGAGCAAAGCATTGGAACTCCACAACCCAACTCTGGAACATCTTATCTGCAACCTCTTAAAAATGTCAGTCATCTAATCTGGGGTAACTTTGGCCAAGAATTATGCAGTGTGTGACATCTTGCAGTAGATTGTTTGTGGTCTTTGCAAAAACAAACTAAATAATGTGCGGAAAGGAAGAAACTTCTTGAAAGATAAGTACAATACGGGTAGATTAAAGACATCAGAGTGGTATTCCCAAAAGGCAAAGTAAGAAGCGGAAACAAAAGCAGTGTGATAAACTCATTCTGAAATAATACACATATGATAAATCAAACAGTACAACTCAGAAATGCAAACATTAGTTCATATCTATTTTTTATCTCACAATACACACAAGAGAGGCAAGATTAGTGAGACTTGAACTTTTCAGGTTGGTGAAATTTGGTTTAAAATCAACATTCCAGGATATGTCCAAACTTAAAATGAAATGATGGCTCATCCCATGAAGTCTAACCCTTACTGAACATATTTCATCATGTAAAATCAGCAACAAAATCCAAACAGACTTAATTTCCCCTTTGTATCACTGACAGAACACATATAAAATCTAACAATGTAAAGAGACAAACGCATGTACGGTGCAAATGACTTCCCAAAAAAACTATTGCAGGCTCTGAATAAGGTCTGATCAGTCAGAATTCAGCAGGCAAATGGAGCAGAGAGTGCTTCAACCGTGAATTTTCTGCTTCGGAACCCAGACTGAAGTCAGAAACAAACCTGAGGCTAAGTGGTTTATCCCTCAGAACAGTGTTTTTTTTCAACCCTGTTTCTCTCCAGTGTTTCCACAAGATGGTGCCAAAACATTAGTCTTCAGTGAAACGTCCTCTTGTGCTCTTTAACTGATGCTGAACCCTGAGGACAGCTTCTCCTATCACTTTTTTGCAGTTTAATGTTGTAAAACTTGTATAACAACCAATGATAATTATGATATATTGTATAACAGTTTATCGTTTATCACTGGTGACTACAAGCAATTGCTAACTACTTTAGTTGTATCTATTTTCACCTTCTAATCACAAGTTTGCACAGCAGTTTCCCTTGGGATAAATAAAGATTTTTGAATCTTCAATCTTTGAAACCTGAATTTCCACAGCTCATTTACCCAAGTGTTTCTCTCCAGGATCAACTTTTCCACACAGTTGGCACTTTAAATCAACTAATTCCACACGCTCGCTTCATCTAGTGAGAAGAGACAACTGTTAATGACAGTCTGAGTGCTGATGGATCGGTGCCTGAAGAATTATGACACTGGATTAAGTTGTGAGAGGGATTTCAACCGGGCACAGTTGTGACATGTCTTGCGTGTGTTACAATTCCTGTAACTGTGGCCCCTTCCGACACCATTTTATTGTCACATTTTCCCACACTGACAAATCAGAAAGAAGAAATTATTGTGCAAATACAACTTTTAACTGAAATTTACAATCAAGAGCTTAGAATGAAATTGCTGGCTTTTATATATCTGCTGGGATGCTTTTTGTTGTCACAACTTGAGAGACCCGCTCTGACATGATTGAAGTTGTATACGAAAGTATTTCAGAAAGTTCAACAGTCAGAGGCAAATAAAGGCCAAATGATCATGTGCTACATAGCTGGGGGCTTTTTCTTGAGCAGGTAAGTTATTAGCTGTCACAACACCTTTATGACTTGATCCCTGATGCTTTTGGCTATAGCAATGTGACTTAAATTTGGTATATGCAGTTGAGTAATTTATAAACAGTATAAACGTATTTACATCATCCCGACCCCCAGGATGAGCAGAGGTTTGGGAATTAAAAAAAAAACCCTAAGGCAATTGTGCAGACATTTTTGAATAATATTCATCTGTGTTAGCGTTTTTTTCATATACAGTAATTAATATCATCTTACCTGTGGTTTGTTGACATCCATGATGGACAGTCGGTATGCCAAAACCTACTTATCAGTACGGATCTGGAAGTCCCAAAGAATCTTAGCTCTGTCATTCTCTCCCACCAATGGATGTCTCTTTCTTTTTAAGTTTAGGAATGTGTTTCTGTATGCCAACCCCCCCAACTAGGCACTCTATACCTGAATACATCTTGCTCTTCACTAAGTGGGTTCATAAAAAGTTACATAATGAAAAATACACAACCCTGTTTTATTTTTTCTGTAAAGAAACAGTATCTCATGTTAGAAACTATCATCCAAATGCTACTGGTATACATTAATCTAAGTAAAAACAAACACTCGAACACTCTGAGCAAATAGTTTTAATGCATTTAAGAATGATATATAGACAAGCCATAAAAGTCATGCCATCATTTCTAATTACATCCCAAAGTTAGCCAGTGGCACAAAAAACACAGTGGCACTTTTCATCTCGGTTTCTGTGAATCTCTTGGTTTGGAATGTAACTTCAATAAATCAACTAAATGAGTGCAATGAAGCTCCACACACAGTTTTTACTACCTTTGCTATGTGTTGCTGCTTGTCTCAGAGGGATTTGTCATGACTCAGTAGAACACGGGTCTCTGTTTGATCAAATAAAAATGGCCCAGAAATCTTAAATGTTTAAAATTTTGGTCATTAGATGCACTTTTACATTTTCACAGTGCTTTCTGATGAATTTTATTTTACTTGTATGATTTGTAAAGTATCAAGCAGGACAAAATTTCAAACATAATGAAAAATCGAACTGTTATGACTTAATTAGCACAAAATCAAGAAACAGCAGGTAAAATATAACCTCACAGTCACTGCTGTCATATAAATTAAGAGAGTAAATGTCTTTTTGGCACTACTCATCAATTCAAGTGAGAGTCATTCCTTCAACAGTCAGAAATATTACTCACGAGACAGAAAAGTGTTCCTGTTTACGATCATCTCAGGAACAGACCTCCCAGCACGTTTACCCTAAGGTCATATCGCAATGCTCAGAGATTTTATGACAATTCGAGAAAAATAGCTTAGTCCCAACACTGACTATAGTATTGAAATAAGTCTGAATGACTATGGTTTATTTTAAAGAGTCTCAGGAGAAAGCCTCATCCTCATAAAAAGAACATGGTAACATAGCTTAGGTTTGCAAAGCTACATCTGCACGTTCTCCAAGACATTTTGAACAGTGTATTTTAGGCAGATGAGACCAGTATGGAGAAATTTGGTCATAATGAACAGTCATCAGACCGGATGTCTGACCAGCTAAAAAAGCGTGCATAAAATTTGGCTATGAAACAGGCTACTGATTCCAAACACAGCAGAAAAATAATCACAATGTTGCCGAGGTCCAGAAGTCAACTTGATTGAAATGCTGTGTTGGGACTTTAAGTGAGCTGTGCATAAATAGTTGCCCATAAGGATCCTTAAACTGAAAAAGTGTTAAAAGGGTGTGCTTACTTTTCACATAACTTTCTATTATTACTCAGTTGCATTTGTTGTTTTAATGTTTGTCAAAAACGATGGTTTCCAAATACCTATTTGTATGACAATAATAATGATTGGATACATTATCTTGACCCATGTGCGTCTAATGCAGAAAATACTCAAAATCATTGTCTTTCAACAGCTTGATATTTAAACTTCCCTCTGCTAATATTTTGAATATGCCTTTTAAAAAATCATTATTGCTAAATAAATACAAGGGTCTATTAAAAAATACAAAAAATACAAAATACAACAACACATTTAGGACTTTATAAGAATGTTTCTTTACTGCATATGAATACAAATACAGGTGGTGGAAAATACATCGAATATACAAATATAACCCATTTTTACAAAAGATAGAAAAAATTTAAGTAGCAGAAGAGGTCCCGAAGTGACATTTGTAGATTCACACTGTTTTACACAATCAAGTATCGAAATGCTTAAAATAAAGAACAAGAAAAAGTGAAAATTACATGGTATACAATTTCAATTAATTGCCCTTAAAAGTGGAAATTTAAAGGGTTATAAAAATATTTGGTTTCCTGAACCATATCAGTAGCTGAGGAAATGACTCAGATAAGAAAACAGATAAAATAGACATTTCAGAGTCAGAAAATGTTGCATGATTAACAATAAAATATATGAGATGGTCTTTCTGCTCTGCGTCTCAGTTCCTTTTTGATTTCAGTTGATGGAGCCGTTGCACTTTAACCATACGCTTTTCAAGTTGGTTCTTCAACGATGGATGAGCACAAATGGGTTTACTCCTGCCCACTATGTACACTCTGTGAACCCACAAGGAGAGACAATTACATTGAGGTTCAGAAAAATATTGCTAATCAATCCCAAACAACATAAAAATTTTGGGTGCAGAAGAGAAAAACATACACAAAACAAAGCACATGACAGCATGTGGGTGGTGGAATAATATGATTATTATCATGGGATGACTACATAGACCACATGAACCTTGTATTTCAAAAATAATCTGAACTTACTTCAGTGCATCGATGTCACAGACACCATAGCTGTGCTGCATTTCCCATCGTACGATTTTAGGAAGCTTTTTCAAATTAACGGGCCTTATGCTGATGCAACATTTTGGGATTCCAGCTGCAAATAATGAAACAAGAAAAAGAGAAAATCACTTAGTATAATCTCTGCATGCTGTCAGTGTTCCCAAATAAGTTTGTTCTCATTACCATCAGTGATACCATCAATCAACTTTTACTGGGAAATTTAAATTCAATATCAACCAAACAACAAGTCTGTGCGAATCTACTCAGCAGATTTAATCTGTGCCTCCTCTTTTGGACTATTTTTTACTGTTAGGGCGCTGGTCTTACCGTCAGTGAAGGTGATGGCCAGAGCGCACAGACAGATGATCACAAGAGCACCTCTCAGATCCATGATGGCAACGTACATGTGGAGACAAAATCTCTCCCTGCTGTTTATAAACTGACAACGAACACACTTGTGCGACCTCCCCCTTTCTTTGCTGGGTGGGTGCCAATATCTGTTCCAATCAGAAAGCAGGTATTGTAACATACATTTGAAAAGAATGCATGAGAAGATTGGATGAAAGATTGGAAATCCGAGTTGACGTGCAGATTTAAAATGACATATTCGCACCCAAACTGTCCCTTTTGAACCGGTACTATCCGCAAACTGTTATTTCAGGATTACAAAGTGGCAGAGGTGTGAATAAAGCGCACAGGCTTGAACAAGTTTAGCAACAATGCATTTGACAGACGTTTGAGTCACGGAGATGAACCGATTGTCTGACAAAAGCCACACCTGCCATCACCAAAGGCGAGATGCGAATAGCCGTTAAACCATGTAGGTCAAGTGGAAATATGAAAAAGATATTAATATGCATACGCTGATCATCAGTTGGCAAACTGGTGTGTGTACTATTGTTTACAAACGTGCGATTCACGCACTTCATGAGCATTTTGGTGTCATTTCAGGGGGGCTCAGTGGTGCTATGCAGAGTGGGACATCCAGTTAAGACGTTGATACTGTTAGGAAAACTGGGATTAAACTATGTATTTTAGGGAACTTAGAAATAGTTTTTTGCATGCTGAAGCATAAGCAGAAGGGTCAGTTAGAAACACTAGTGGCCCGTGCATCTTTATTGTGTAAAAGGACATATAGGTGGAGCGGAAGTTTGGGCTTTCTGCAGAATCTTCAATGACTGACTAAGTGAAAGCTTAGTTGATTAAACCTTCAAAATAGAAACAAAACTTTCTTTTCCTTTTTTTGTCTTCTCCCCAAAGGAAAACATGTTCAGCCAGATGAAAAACAACTTCTGGTTTCTAGACACTGATAAACAGCAAAATTAAGTTATCTTTCTGATGTTAAGTGGAACATCAAAAACATCCGAAACCCTGTTAGTTACAACAGTTCAAATGAAGAGTGGCCTTCAGTGTGCAGCTAAAGATCTACAAGTCCTGGACAAAACTACAGAAGGGAGTTGGTTCTGTGGGAACCTCAGTACTTCATTAACCCAAAAGGCACCTGGGATTGAAAACACCGGAAAGAATGCCTCACACAATAGAAGGCTCTGAAAGACAAAAAAAACAAAAACAGCACCGTTTACAATAAATGGAAACTAAAAGCCTGCAGCACGAACGACTTTCTTTTAAGATCATTGTGGGTTCGGGAGTGGCTTTTACCTCTGTGCTGCATGTTGTGCAATTCAAACGAGCGTGAAAAGAGACAATATAATTGCTGGGAGAATAAATGACTGCTCCCCTCAGGATGTTTCTGGTAGCAAACACGACAGACAAGATGTTTTTGTTTTTTTAATATCATATTAAAAGAGTGATGGGATGGAAATGGAAAATGACATATGAAAACAAACTCTTCGCACACATTCAACCTGACCATGCTAAAAGTCTTAAGAGCTTAGACGTCGAATGGGAAAGCCTTTCTTCAATTCATCAAATTGTGCTCTCTTTGTCATTTTGAATACACAACTAAGAAAATGTAAACAAATTGTGAGCGTTTGCAGAAGGCAGCTCTGATTTGAAATCCACTCCATGCCAAACTGCAGGTTGATGATGCCTTGCATAAGCTTGATGTTTGAATATGCCACATTCCTTTAAATTAGTTAGGTGCAGGGACTGGACTGAAAAGGAGTGACAAAGGAGCCAAATTAAAATTTTGGAAACTCTTTGGAGAGTCTAGACAAGTACAGTCTCAGGTATCAGTCCATTCTAAGTGATCAGGGCTTTATAAAGTTCATAAATAGTGATTTTTAGGTTGAAACATTTCATTATATTGTCGCTTTTAGCACGAGAGGTGTGACAGGAGGCTTCTGAGATGATCACTTCTGAAAAAACATGCAACGGTCATTTTCTGGGAGGCGCTGCCTCCTCCTCCAGCAGAAGCAGGCGCACGTTGCTGCCAAACTGCCATCGCGTCCAGGAACTTCAGCTTTCAGGCCTCACGCACAAACGCACACGGTGATTACACTTCCCTGCCTTCCATTCACGAAATTCAACAAGTTGCTACACACGCAGCTGTGAGAAGTGTTTGCTGAAGGGAGATGACATCAACTCACTCATAAAACGTGTGATCAAAGAGAGCAAACACTGTGTTCTCAAACAGTCCTTTTTCTCATGCACGCAAAATCACCCAAGCAGCTAATTTTAGGTGTGATTAATTTGACTCAAAGGTGCGAAAAATAAATAAATAGAAAAAATAATACAGAGGCCCCTTTGATGGCGAAACATTTTGTATTTTTATCCCATTTTCAATGTACAATAATATTTCTACTACACAAGAGAAGTGTACTTCGGCATTTTTACTCGGTTGGTTTTCAACTTCAATTCTCATAGATTTCTATATATTTACACAATTTAGTCATAACTCACATATTTGAACTGGAGCTTTGTACTGTTTACAGTATGTGCATTAGTATATACATTTTTCATCTGTGAACAAACATCAGATCTACCATTAGCATTATGATTAATCTCTCCAAGGAATTGTGTCTGAGTGGCTTATCGTGTAACAAGCTGAAGATAGTTCAAACCGAGGCAGGATTAGCTGAACGAAATTGGACTTGGGAACTTGAGGCTCAGCGTGTGTTTCAGCAGACCGCAGGAATCAGTACTCATTCTGTCCTCTGCTGGCCACATGAAGCAGACGCAGCAGCAGCTCCGTGGGCGAGCTCCTGGCCGAGCTGTGGGCCGGTTCTGTGGCCTCCATCTCCCCTAAGCAGTCCGGGTCCATCACACAGCTCTCTGAGGAGAGAAAGAACACAGATCGGTTTACGCCACGTTCTACCGGTTCTTCTAAATAAAGGGGACACGTCCCAAAGCGAGATGTGCACCAGAGGAGCAGCAAAAGCCGGCGGCGGCGCAGCGTCCCCCCTCAGGTCCGCACGCTCTCCCTCCCGCCTGGCAGGGCGTCAGCAGGTAGTTCTCCTCCACACAGTGAGCCGATTCCGGGGATCCCAGAAGGCACCCCAGGTCCTCCCCACAGCAGATGCTGGGGCCAAAGCAGCGGCCCCTGTCTCCAGGTCCGCAAGACATGCACTATAAGAGGGCAGATATATCAGTGGAAGCATTATTCAGGTTTAACATTCTTAACTCGTACTGGAAAGGCCTTTTTTTCATGTAGGAATTTCCCTTCTTCTCTCACATTTGAATAGTCAGTTTAAGCTTGAGCTTTAAAAAAATCAATGGAAATACTGAATAGTTGAATGTCTCTTAATTTGTTCCATTTTTATCCATCATCACATCTTTTCTAAGGTGTGCATGTAATGAAAAACTGAAATTTAAGGAAATAAAAAAACTCATTGCACACACTACAGATGGTTGACAAAGCCATTCTTTCATTTTCAAGTTCAAAATCTACATCAATCTAAAATCCTGCAATTAAAAAAAGCAAAAATATTGACTGATATTAATGTTGGGATGAGGGAAGTCCATGTTTTTCTTCATCGTTGTCCAAACCAGTAAATCACTTGTTTCCTGCCAAACATTATCTCTGTAAACTGATGTAAATTTATCAATGAAACGCCTCTTAATTCTGTGTTTTTCCTCTTTTTACTTTGCCAGACTTTAGGACTCTGGAGGTTTTCCCAGGATACATGCAGCAAATAATGTGTCCAATCAAAGATTTTTCAGGAAAGAGGAAACCAAACCTAAGTATAGATTAGATTCCTGCAGAAAGGATGGCGGTCCTCACCTGTCTGCCTCCAGCCTCCGGCAGAGCCCGCTTCCCTCCCCGGGGGCAGTTCTGGATGTAGCAGGCGGATGAGAGCGCGATGAGTCCCATGACGCAGAGGGGGAACAGGGAGTGATGCATCTCTGCTGGTTCCGGACGGGTTCGTAGCCTGAAAGTTCTCCTCGGGCTCTGGAAGTGGGGGGGGGGATGATGATCATCGCGACTGCTCTTCGTTTATAAACACTCGGACACGAGTCCGACAAAGCGGCCGCCATCTGACGTCAGCGTTGTCCTGTCCCCGCTCTCGGCACGCACGCGCACCCGAAGGCCACCCGCGTGCGCGCGCCCGTGTGCGCGGGAGGTCGCGGCAGATGTGGTTCTGAATCGGATGTGTGCCATCTAGCAAATCTACGGGAGAAAAACAGCAGTGACAGCAGAAGATGCCTCTTCTGTATTCAGCCCTGCGCCACACTCATTTATCACAACTTTTTTTTAAAAATCTAGGAGTCATCTCCCAGGTGGATGACACAATAAATCTGGCAAGAGGTGAACAACTAATTGCAGTTAAAGAGCTCTTATTAAATCCACCACAGTAATCAAAGTGATGAAGTACATTTCATGATCATCATGCACAGTTTAGATAACAAGCCGCAGATATTTTTTACTTTTGCCCCATTTGGAGAACTGTGGCGGCATCATGACAACCTCGGGGTCATTAAAATTACTCGGATGACCTATGTAAACTACTGATTGGCAAAACAAAATTAGCATTTGAAATAAACATATTTTCAGGTGATTATTCTGCTCTGAGTGCGGCTGCATGCTGAGAGTTGTATGTCTCCTATTAGCTGTTGTGATGCAGATGATCAAGTAAATGACAAATGGCAAAACTGAACATCGGGAGGTTAATTTCTGAAGGAAAGCCCTAATGAGCATTATAGCATTCAAGTGAGATCAAGGTATAAAGACAAAATAGGAACTCACATAATCAGAACTTCTATCCTGAACTGTATGAAATAAAAAGTTTGTTCTGGAAAAACGTGTTCCCTGCCTTTCTTGACCATGAAAAGACGTTATACGTGTCAGACGCTGTAATGTAGAAGTACATTTCTTGTCTGTGCGTGGTGTTCTAAGTTACCTTGACAAAGTCTATAGCAGAGAAAATGACTCTGACACTGCCTGATTTAGCCTCATTTATATATCCGCCAGTTCCAGCTGAAGCTGAGATGCACATGTCTTCATTACGCATACGGAGCCGGTGATTTCAGTCTCACTGAGCGGGTACGGGATCACGACCCCCGTTAAGCTAAACGTTACCGGGGTAACCAACGCAGAAAGGATGCTGTTTGTTATTGGGAATAATATACACCACATCCCCGCCTTTGCTCTGTTTAACCCTTTTGCGCACAATGGCTCACGCCATCGTGAGAGCAAAAACGAACATGTTTAACCGCATACCTTGAAAGCACGGGGAATTAAAACTTTTGAAAGGATCTGATTTGAAGTAGTTGGTCAGCATTTTAATAAAGAACTGTAAATCTTTTTCCGTTGCTCCAAAAGTACATCCTAATAGGACGTGAGGAAGTAAGGGCCAGACATGAGCACGGAATACACATGGCTTCCTTCACAATGACCACAGAGCCTTGGATCAACTCTATGTCCACTCAAATTCTCGAGGCTCCAGCTCAGTGTCGCTGTCCCTCAGCCTTCTCATTGTGCATTCTCAATGCATCTTTATTTTCCAACATCTGTAGAAGAGGGCAGTACCAAGGCTGCAATTACACTTCCAATGAGCAGGCGAAGAAAGAGAGACAGGCTGGAAGACGACAGGAGATGTTACATACGCAGGTGTCTTTTGATACACTCGTGCTTTCAAAATGACGTTAGCTGTTCCTCTGTTGGTCAACAGAATCTAATATGATGAATCTGAGACAATGCAAGCTAAAAAAAGAAAAAGTAGAGACAATTCACCGAAAGAGATGCGGTAAAAACACATTTGAGTGAGGAATAAAGGCAAATGACAGACAAGCTTGGCAGTAGTTCTGTAAAGTGTCTTAAACAGAAAAGTACATCCAACAAATGGAGGATTTGGCATGTTTAGAGTTTATTCAAAAGTGCAACAGAGGTAGTATCCAGCAAAGTGAATCAGGAGTGGGGTGGATTAAATCCAGGACCCGAATGTTCAGCTGTAAATCTAATGGTGGGGAATCGTTTTGAGGTGTCCGTCTGCGTCTTATCTGTCAGCGATGAACACGCGTGATGTGACCACGAGGGGAAGGGTTTTGGCAAGTCGAACACAAAAGGGGACTGGAGGCCGCTGCGGAGTCCCCGCTCGATGGTTTGGATTCATCTCGGAGGCATGGGCGGCAGAGATAGTGGCCGCAGACCAGCCGGTAGATGTGCGAGGCCGATGTGGAGTACGCAGACAGCGAGCCGGCGCACGCCGAGCAGGTGTTTCCACCTGGTGAGGGCACAGAGGGGGGAGTGGCCTTTAGAGAGCAACGCTTGAAGATGAAATATGAAGAGAAATGCAACACATTTCAAATGTAATTCAAAGTTGTTTCAATTCCACTGTGGCCTGATACTCGTGTACCTGTATTGGCTTAGATAAAGGGTAAAAACCATTGGGTGAATCTTAGCGTGCAACATATCATCAAGATTTAGAGCGGCAATAAGGCAATAACTCAAATGTTTATGGCGGAGCTTTGGTTATGACTCCAGGCAATTTTAGCTTTTTTCAAAGTGGAAGAGGTGGTGACACACTGATTTTTTAAATATATAATCTGTGCTTCAGCCACATCAATAATAGAGGTAAGGTAATACTGTAGCTGGCTGATTTAGTTAAGATTGTGTTGAATCCTTAAACACAACCCAGAAGCAGTCTATTCTAGTCCAGTTTAATTCCACCTTAAATTTGAAGTTGTGTCAGAAGTTGGAAAAATGTTTCATAGTTGAGAGACAATAAAGGAGTGATGTCAGTTTTATCTTTGGTTGTTGTATCTGTCAGCGGGTACAAAAAAACAAAAACTTTTATGCCGTTTTTGCTGGAGAGGCATATTTGTCTTTTGAAGGTATTTGATTCTCTATTCACGCAAGGTCCCTCTTTGAATGCATTCCAAGCCTCAGTGAGTCAGAACAGACCACATCTGGCTGCCAATAAAGCCAGGCATTATTCTGTCAGTCTGCAGCAGAACGCTTAGTAAAACCTACCGATAACGACTTTGTCTACTTTCATTTCTCATTGCTAAAAACATCAAACTCATAAAACAATCAAACTGCCTTCAGAGTGCCAGGACCTACCTGGAGACGTGTTGGAAATGTTCGCACTCTCGCTCTGCTTTGTGCCACTCAGAGGGGTAGAGTCACTTTGTTGGGGCAGGTTTGACGTGAAGGAGGGTCGACCCCTCAGGGCAGAGAGGAGGGCCTCGTCCAAACTAGCTGACAAACGCTGCTCATGAGTGCTGCCGCTGGGGGCTGAAGACGTACAGAGGCAGAGCAATTACGCATTTAAAAACAGAGACATCAACCGGTAAAATGAGTCACACACACACACAGAGAAAAGGCAGAAAGATTATGTTAAGCCCTTTACCATCACGGGATCTGCTAAAAGTTGTAACAATTTTTGATTTTATCTTTCTTAGCAATGGTTCCAATGAGGCTGAGCAGATACTACACACTGCCATGATAACTCCTCGAACCCCTGCCTGATCACAGATAACACCCATCGTCTGTAGCTGTGCTGAAAACTCCGATCACATCTTCGGTCTCTGAAGACTGCTGATTGAATTGTGGGCCAAGACGGCAAAAAAATAACAAACGGCGTTTCAGAGTGCATGGGTGATAACCCGAGGTATTTTTTAATCTTATATAACGTCTGATCCCACCCACATTTACCTTTGGTAGATTGCCGTCTGTAGCGGCAGTCATATAAAAAAGAGGAAAGGTCGACTTGGACCATTTATCGGAAACACTGTTATACTCACCGGAAATCAAATCGGTTCTTGGTCTTTTCGTCTCAGGTTGCGGCTGCTTTTTACTTGTTGACACTTCCGTGGATTCTTTGAAAATCTCACTTATGTCTCGTTTCTTCCTTCGGTCCATCTCTGACTTAATTTCTGTCCGAACGATGCGAGCGTTAGGAGTGTGTTTCTGGTGATTTGACGATGACCCTGATCCAGGATCTTGTGTTTGGTCAGAGGTCCGGTTCAAATCTTTGTCATCAGAACTGGACTTAACACCGAACCTGTCCTCTGAACTCTTACTGGAACATGGAGAATTCTGAGACTGTTTATGTGTGTGGGAGGTTACAAGTCTTGAGGCTTGCGGCTTCTCCCTTTGGTCCGGTCCCCCTAGCATGCCGTCCCTCTGCATCAGCCCTTTCTGAAGCAGGAAGTGGTCAATGCGGCCCTTCAGCAGCGGGTTGGGAAGAGGCTGGGAGGCCGAGGAGAACGGCACGCCGGTAAAGGGGTCATTTGGTGGTCGACCCCAGGTGGCTTCCCTCTTTTGGTGCTCCTCCAGGGTGGAGTTGTCCACCGACACTCCACTTGGCAGCAGCATGGGCAGCATCATCACCTCCTGAGTTATAGGATCCAGAAACTCTTCTGGGATGGAGAAACTGTAGGAATCAAACGAAAAAACAAAAAAAAGTTCCTTCTTTTTCTTCCTTTCCCCAATATCACAACATTCATCCATTCATCTTTTGGACCACTTATTCCCAACCGGGTGGTGGGGGGCTGGAGCCTGTCCAGGTTAGAGGCCCTGTACACCCTGGACAGATCATCCGTCCACCACAGGGGCACAGAGACAAACAACCACACACGCCAGATCACAACATAACACAAATAATTCAGTTTAAAATGGAAATTTAAGGCAGAGAAAAAAAAACACGGGTGGTAGTGTGGTGGTCAGCACCATTGCCTGGTCAGAACGAGGACCTTTCTTTGAGGAGTTTGCAGGTTCTCCCTGTGTCAGCACTGGTTCTCTCCGGGTTCTCCGGCTTCCTCCCACCATCCAAAAACCTGCACGTTAGGTTGACTGGACATTCCAAATTTCCCTTAGGTGTGAGTGTGAGTGGTTGTTGATCTCTGTGTGGCCCTGTGATGGACTGGTGCACCCTGCCTCTCTCCCACTGATTAATGGGACAGACTCCAGTCCCCCATTTGGGAATAAGTGTTTACGAACATGGATGGATGGAAACAAACACAAAATACACATACAGTAATTGCTTTAACAACTATAGAGCAAACCAATGAAGGCAGGAGCAGTGCCCGATAGCTTCGTTACCTTGGAGGAACCTGTACAGGTGGTGAAGGGGCAGAAGGGGCAAAAAACGTAGGTCTGGAAAGCTGTCTCTCACTGGCCGCGTGGATTCTTTTGATCCTCTCCACTTCCTCTGTGGGGCAGCAGCGAGCAGGCTGGCCCCACACGGCCAGCGCTTTGAGCCCCAGAGAGGACGCGGCGCCGCCCATGGGCACGGTCACCCGGAGCTGCGTGACGGCGCCCAGAGAGGCCAGACCCCGGCTCCACAGCTCCTCCTGCCGGCAGCCGGCCGGCTGCGGGGGAGGAGGGGACAGAAAGGGGGCCTGGGGGCGATAATTTGAATGCCTGAAGCAGAGCCGAGTCTCCTCTGTCAGTTCACAACGAGCTACCAGCTTAAACGTGGGCTCAGACGTGCCGGACTCAGTGTGTGAGTGACTGTCCAGCACACGGCTGGCCGGTTGAGGGTCACCGGCCGACGCGTCGCCCGACTGCCGGGCCTGGAAACTCCACATGTGCGCATTGCTCCGCGGCGATCTACCGCCATCTTTCCGGTGTTTCGGTCCGTTCTGGCCTTTGCGGTCCTTCAGCTGCATCTTTTTCTCGTCCGTTTGTCCGAGCTGCTTTTGCCGGGTGGTTGGCAGATCAGAACTGGTGCTGATCTCCAGTCTTTTGTGAGCCTGTCCTCGGTCCATTCCCCAAGGCCACAGCTCCACATCCACCCTGCAAAGCTCCACCTGGAAGCCAAACTTCAGGGTCATCTGAAAAGAATGGATGGAAAAATTATATTTGCCCCATGGATCATGTGCTACGGTGATTCTGTTGATCCTGTGCAGCTTTTAGACTGAAAAATATAAGACAGTTTGCACAAATAAAAAAGATTAAAAGAATATTTAAATTAGATCTTGGTAGGCACTATATTTCAGAACCTGTATGTATCGGTACCAGTATAAAAAAGCAAATCAGTGAAAGTTTCAGAAGCAAAGATGGATAAGAAATAGGTAATTGTGTAAGAGTCACACATACAAAGTAGTACAGCATCCTAAAGAAAAACCGACTAATATTCATCAACAGTCTTGGTTTTTGCCACTGTTTATTTTATAAATGTCTATTACAAAATACAGCATAACACCATCCATGACCAAGAGTCTGGGGATAATCATCTTGAAACCATTTGCTACAAAAGAGAGCAATGTTGAAAGCTGAAAAAGTTAAATGCTGAATGTCCTTCGGCCTGACATGAGTTTTCCAAAGATGCAGACTCAGAGCTCCAAATAAAGAAATATAGAGACTGAGGGTCAGAAACGGTGCACAGAGAGGACCTGCACCACCAGCAGTATGATAGAAGAACAAACTGCCCTCTACTTCAATAGTGGAGCCACATCTTACCTCCAGGGGCGGACGGAGAAAGTACTCCAGTTTAAAGCCCCGCCTACGGAGAGCTGCGTCAGCAGACACAAGGTTTGTGACATCATAGCCATCAGCACACAACTGTAGATGAAAATGAATAAATAAACAAATATGTACATTTCTGAGTAAGCTTGGACTTGAACCATGTAAAATCTCACACTGAAGAAACACTGTTTTTTTTTTTACTTAAATGACTGTGGAAAAGCATTAGCATCCAACCATAAATGCCTCAATACGATATTCGTGACGACGGTTTATCAGGATGACTGTCTGCATAAACGTGACGCATAAAGAATTAAAAAAGAACCGAAATACAAAAATATCATGGTGAAATACAGAACATTTTCAATCTCCTGGGTGCAGAAAAAGACTGCAAAAGAAAAGAAGACATGAATGAAAAGAGCAAGGACGGTTGTGATTGAGTCTCCCACACACCACTGTGTTCCAGGCTTCTTTATTCTCACATGGCTATCCTTTTCTATTGCATGCCCATGTTTCTTCCTTCTCTTCTCAGAACACACAGCATCTATTCTTGATACTTGTATGATAAAAAAAGGGTAGATGGTACTCTTCTGAGACCCTACTCAAATGAGTATTTGGGCTTATTTTATCTTGCTCTTAATGTTCTCAACTCCAGTAACCTGCATGTCATGAATTAAAATAATTTTAAAAGGCTGCAAACCCAAAAGTCATGTGGAAATATGGCTTGAGGGCAGCACGGGAATGTAATTAAGTCTACAAAACCTGTCTTACCTTGTTGCAATGAGCTGTTGTGTAAAAATGCGGCAGACAAAGATTCACAACCATTTTCCGCCAATCTGCAAAGACACAAACCGACTTTAGAGCGGTAAAAGATGTTTCTTTACATGGTTTAAAATGATATAGGTCAAGGCAAAGTGACAGACTCAGTGAATACAGCTGTTGAACACTGACTCAAAGACTATGATACATATAAAAATATTTATATAACAATGAAGAAACTTAGTTAACCCCTCAAAGCCACCATCAATCTTTGGTGAGAAAATAGACAGACAGTGAAAATTGATGATAACAATTTAATCATGTAATTGACATCTGGCCACAAAGGATTTCTATGTGTATGTGCTAAATATGTTAGTTCTGAAAACACTTTATTTGGTTAGGCAACCAATGTCAAACAAAACAAGATAATGAATGAGCTTATAATGTTTCAATGTAAAATCAATCACATTCTGTTTTCCGAATCACTAGGAGGCAATTCACATTTTTACCACAGCAGAATGAACCACATTGGGTATGAGTACCTATAATATCTTAACTTTTTACTCATTTTCTAAGATAGACAATTAAAAATAAGTCAGATCGCATTAACTTAACTGAGACCAGACCCCTAAAGACCCTAACCCTAAAAAACCCAAAATGTTTTGTGCTTCCATGCAATGAAGTCAAATAATAAATGTTTTTAAGGTTTGTGGGCAACTAATCGGAGTACATGGTGCTTAGAAAAGACATAAGGGATAAACATTGTATTAAACAGGAAAGTAACTAGTGTCCTTCAGATGAAAACAAATAAACATTATGACATATCACTGATTACACCGATTTATTTGTAGCTGTAGAAGTAATACTTCAATAAGTCATCACTGAAGTATCAACTTATATTTTCTTTTCCAAATCTAACAGATTTATAGAGCCTTTCCTGCTTTAGTAAAAAAGATACCTTGATCAAGGTTTTCAATAGCTAGTTTTAGCTATAAGTCCAGTAACAGCAAACGCTTAAAAGGACCAGGTAGACGATGTTGACAACAGTAACACAACAGTTGTAAACTAAAGGTATCAAATAAGAACAGTCTGAATGGTCGCTGGTAAACTTGCCTGATTGGACTCTTTATTTACTTCCAAATTCAAGAGGTTTTTAACAGCTACTAGCACATAGCTATTTAGCACAAACAAACCGGCACGTCTACGGAAAGCGATAAGCGTCATATGGCACGTGTTTTGACGCACGACGATCTCACTAGATTTAAGAAGTAAATCGCCGCAGTAAATCATAATCATAATAAATGTAATAACATGTACATTTGAAATAACGTGTTCTTTATAGTACTGCAATACCAGAACGAAAAGTTTTTTTCTGCTGTTTTTTTTTTTTGCAGAGGCGTTTGATCCACTGTCTTTGTCACAAACCTATTTCCTCCTCCACATCAAGGTCAACGGGGTTGGATTTCTTTACAAGATGCAATCCTGCTTCTTACAGTAATTTCAAGGATGCCTCAGAAGGATGAATGGCAATATGAGGGAAGAAGTCAGAAGTTGTTTGAGAGTAATTACTATTGAGTTAGAAGAATATTTGTCTTTCTTTCTGTATATCATCCCCTCACATACCAACATATGTATTACTTCCTTTTACTGGGATTTTTTCAAGTTTCTGAACTCATTAGGCAAATAGAAATGACTGGGTACAGGGTTCTTATTTCAAAGAACATTTATATGGTAGGAAGAAGTACTTTGGATCAGCATCTGTTGTCCACTCACCCCATGTTTTCTTTATTCCTTGGGTTTACTTTTTTTTAAATTCTAGGTCATGTACAACATTTACAGTGGAAAAAAAAAAGGTTCAGTTTCGACATTTCCAAAGTCAAATCTCAACTTCTTGCTATATTGAAAAAGGATTTACCCACACGTGCAAAGTGCTGAATTATTCACATATCTTTATTAGTTCTGCTGCATGTTAACAAATGGATGGTATTAATCAAGCCAGAGCAGTACTAGTAACATAAATGCAAACAATAATTTTGAAACATGTATCAAATCAATAGCATTTTGTTCTCTAAACAATGCAGTACTTTAGCTACGTCACCTACATCAAAAGGAACATCATTTTTGGACAAGGTTGCTATGATTGCACCATGATGATCAGCCAAAAGGCTATCTACATAATTTATAAAAACACATAAAGGAAAGCTCAAATGGCACATATTTTCTCTCTCAGTTCACAATAATATAATAACAGTAATAAAGATGATAATACTATGTAATACATTAGAGATAAGTTAATATTCTTGAGCAACATCTTTTTATGCTGGCATAAACAACACATATAAAAGCCATGATATTCACATCAGAACCTACTGTACATCATAACCTGTGTGTAGAACACTACATAGTGCAGTAAGCCTGAAAGCTCTCCTTCGTCTTCCTTTCCATATTTTTTTAAAACTTCCTCCTCCCCTGCTTCGTCTAAATGAATTATACAGAAGAAAGTAACAGTTTTTCAAGATATACACACACCCGCGGTTGAAAACTTCAGTCTCACAAGCTTTGATGTATATGTTCTAAAAGAAAACCCCACTTCTTTGAATATTAATCTTCACGTATATTGCCACTAGTCCCACTATCCTCAGTCTCATAAGATGAAGCTTTTCATATGTAAGCACGCATGCGTACACTCACTTTCACATTCTCGCTCACACACATTTACAATCTATAACTATTATAAGTATTTCTTTCTGCTAGTATATCATACATTCTATAAAATTTTTACTGACTGCACTGTCTAATTTCTTGGTTGTGAATGCACAAAGGCACAGTCATCATAATACTTAAATTCAAACTGTGTCCGGCCATTCCCGTCCCTGCAGTTCAGTGAAGTGGTAGGTGAGTCGGGAGCTCTTTAAAAGTGCTCCAATGACCCCTAGTGTTCATTGTTAGTCACCACAGAGAATCTGAAGTGAAAGTGAACTAGGTTTTCCTACATCCAAAAATGTATACTATATTTCGTTGGGGCTGATTATCTGCTGAACGTACTTATTTAAATTCTATTTGTAGAAAATATAAACTCTCTTGGTCTTAATAACGTGTTTAACTGGGTCATGCATGTTGGACCCTGTGCATGAAATGCCTTAAAAACTTAATTAAGAGTCGACATGTGTGTTAGACCTTTGAAGTCAGCATCTGCTGGGAAAAGAATTATAAGAATTATTCCAGCCATGTGTATTAGTGTTGTATTACAGTGTTTGATGATATAGTTAAAGCACTGAAATAATCTTCACACTTTTTGATATATATAGATTTTCATTTGTTCCTGGCATTGTTCTCTGGGAATATGCCTGGAAGAATGGTGTAAGGCGCTCTCTGGCCAAAAATTTAACTTAACATCACACACTCTGACCACAAATTCTACGTTTAAATAACCAGTGACACAGATTTACAACGAATAAATATCACATTATATTGTTGTTGATCACTTTTGACAATTTCCCTGATTGTCTTGGTCCTTTTTATAGCATGGGCATCAAATGACACATGTATAAATACTGTAATTTAAGCATTGTCATTTGATATGACATTTCATTTCTCTGCCATGCATCACTGTGGCATAAGTATTTATGAATACTTTCATACAAGTTGCCTTTTTCAACTTGTGATAGCAATGCTTCCTGGGGGGGTTGAAAAATCTGTGATAACAAAGAATGTAGTTCAGCTTCCTGCTCAGATGATGAGTTTGTTTCTGATAACGTTGCAGTTTACAGTTTTTGCTCTTGACGTTCAACTGTCCACGTTTGTTCTACTTTGACAGTTTTTACTACTGTATGCTGGAGTGCTTTTGTGTGAGAATTTCCACTATGAGTTTAGACAAATGTAGCGTTTGTTCAATGGAGTTGCTTCTATATCTCGGTTGACTCTATCCTCTCCAAGCGTGAGGGTCCGGCCCAGGGAGGGGCCAACTGATGGAGAGAGGGAGGGCCTTTCTGGTCCTCACAAGGTGGGGAGAGGGTAAGAGCGATGGGGCCAGAGAGGGAGGGGGGACCAGTGAGAGAAGGAGGACCACAAAGGGAAGGGGGACCTGAAAGGGAGGGAGGACCAGAAAGTGATGGAGGGCCAGAAAGGGAAGAGGGACCAGAAATAGAAGGAATGGGTGGAGGAGATAGAGGTGACAGGGCCGATGGCGGAGGTGGAGAGTTGGAGGAAGTGGGAGAAGTTGTGGTGATGGTGGTAACAGTTGTTGTGGTGGAGCTTGTGGTTTGTTTGGCTCCCAGCTGGCTCATGCGTTTTTCCAAAGCTTGGTTCTTCTGCAGCGTTTCCACGTAGCTGAGCTGCAGCTGCGCCTGATATTTCAACACCCGCTCCTTCTCGTCCTGCCAGGTGTGCCTCTCCTTGTCAAAATTGAGGGCCTGGCGTTCCCGTTGCTGGCGCTCCAGCCGTAACGCGGCCTGCAGCTGCTCCAGCTGCCTGCGCAGCTCGCCGGCCTCGTCCCAGTGACCCTCTTGGGCCCGCTGTTGCTGATGGGTGTCTTGACGCAGCTGCACTTCCTGACACAGCTGGGAATCGTGACGGAGCTGGGCCTCTTGGCGCATTTGGGTTTCGTGGCGGAGGTGGGCCTCTTGGCGCAGCTGTGCTTCTTGGCGGAGTTGGGCCTCGTGGCGAAGGTGGGCCTCCTGGCGGAGCTGGGCCTCCTGGCGGAGCTGCGGGTCCGAGCGCATCTGCACGTCCTGTGGCAGGTGCGCGTCCTGCCGCTGCTGGACGTCGCGCCACTGGGCCTCTTCGCGCTGCTGCCTCTCCTGCCTCTGAGCCTCCTGCCTCTGGGCTTTGGCTTCGTCGCTCTGAAGACTCAGCAAGGTGTCGGACGTGGGGGTGAGCGAGTTAGTGGAGGGCTCGGCTGGATTTCGCGGGCAGTGCACAGCTCCCCATGGTGGCAACAGCCCGGCCGCGGCTAGGTTTGGGCTCACCACGACTTCTGCACCTCGGCTCACCTCACTCAAAGCGCGCTTTAAACTCAGCACTTCTGCCTCAAACACGCCCAGCTTCTCTCTCAGGATGGACACCTGCAGAAAAGAAGAAGCATAACAAGAGGTATGAAGCCTTCTATGGATTTAAGCATGAGTAGTATATGTGTTCTAAACCATTATTTACATCTCATACAGTGTAATGGAGAAATAACATTATAATAATAATGAATAACCTCTTTCTGACATTTCTTGTAAACGTATTTTTCCTCCTGATATGTATATAAATATTTCCTCAAAGCGATAAAGGCACAACAACACATTTCACTGTACTGTGTATGCTTGACAATTTCAAGTCTGTAATTTTGTATCTTGAAAACTGAGGTCATCCCTGAATGCATTCAAAAGAATTAAGAGGGTAAGTAGCATTCAGGTCCTTCAAATCAAATATAATTGACAAGGTGAGCCTCAGACGGTTCTGGAAAAACACAAGGTATGTTTATTTTCTGGTATTACGAATTCGGGTGTGCGTCAACAAAACACCACACGGACCTCGTAAATGCCTAGAAAAGCAATTATTGCAACACATCAGTGTGGGAAAGTTACAAGGTAATCTCTAACTATTAGACATCCATCATTTAACAGAGAGAAAGTTCAAAACTAAAAAAAAAAGAGAGACAGCTGCCAAGATTTTATGGGAGTGAACCTCTCGTTACGTTAATTCCAACGGTGGATTGCACAACCAGAAAAGCTGAAGTGAAAGGCTCTTCTCTTTAAAAAACATGACAACAAAGCATACGTTTTTAAAGGTTGCATCCGCATCTTTCTTTTTACAGCACTTCTGAAACAATGTCTTTTGGACATTTGAGACCAAAGTAGAGAAGTTTAGTTAGAATGTACAGTACCCAATTTAATGAAGAGTAAACAGAATATGTACACAAACACCCTCCATTAATTTTCATGCATATTGGTGACAGGGAAGTGATTTGTTTTTTTTTCCAACCACCTAGTAAACACTGAATCAAACATCAGCTCTTCCATCTATCAAAGCATTTTTGAGTAAAATGTGAAGCCAGTTGTCTGACAGTTAGGACCTGGTCGAAACTGCGACAGGAGCCAAACCTTTTCCACAACAACGTGGGAAACAAGTTACCTCAAAATGAAAATGATTACTTCAGATAATTGCAGCTAAAGCATGTTCCAAATGCTATTGGATAGTAGGGTGTTTTTTTTTCCAACCACTGCTCAAGCAATTTGGCTTGGAATTTGTGAAACTTATAATAGGACTAATAAGTTTCACTTATCATGAGACATAATTAGTTAGATTTATTTCCCCAGTGAAACCTGAAAATGTTCTGCGTTCTTCTTTTTTGCTTTGTTGATAAAAAAAGGTTAGGTTAACCTGTAAAGGCCAAAATAAACATAAATTGTTAATTAATGTCAAAGTTCAAAAGCCCTTTCGTGAAGACCAGTTGAAAACCTACCTCAGACAGGGTCCTCCTCAGGTCTCCTTCACATTTCTCCAGTTCCAGGCTCTTAGAGCTGTAAGAGTCCTTCAGGCCCAGCATGACCTCCTCCCGCTCCCTGAGCTGGGCATTGAGCTCCTTCAGCTGACCTCTCAGGGCCACCATTTCACCAGCTCGCTGGGTCACTTCAGCCTGACTCTCCCTCAGCTGCTGCTTCAGCAGGGAGATCTCTCCGGCCTTCTGACACACCTGCAGGACAAAAAAAGTGGGACTGTGAGCAGCAGTGCAGTTGGTATCAAGGTGGCAAGAGAGCGTCCAGTCTCAGTGGACACAGGTTAGCTTGTGACCTACAGAGACAAAGACATCTAAAAAAAAACAATATCTACTCTTCTTTGATGTTTCTGATGGGATGGCGTATGTAAGGTATAAAAAGGCATATGAAAATGAATAGAAATAAATTAATCCCGTAGAGCCTTCCTTTTTACACTGGTTTTGATTGGGAAAACAACTAAGACTGACAAATTGGACAAAAGAGTCACGTTCACGACTTTTACGTCCTTTTTTTCAAAAGTGCTATCCTAAAAGTACATTTATTTACAGTGACCCAGCAGTGTTTATTTTCACACAGGTGGGCAGCTTTGCACATGCATCCTTACACTGAATTCTCACGTATTCACCCAATAATTCAATGAACTACTGTCTCAAGGCCAACAATTCATACACTCATATCTCACCTCCCACTTGGTTTCCTCCAGACGAGGCAGGATGTCTGCCTGCTCCTTCCTGTAATCCAGACACTTTCTTTCCAGCTCCTCTCTCTGAGCCAATAGAGCTGCCATTTCCTCCTGGAGCCTCCGCTTGTCCTGGGACAGGCGGGTTATCTGGGCCTGAAGGGCTGTCTGGGAGCGCTGCGCTCGACGGGTAACCTGCAAACACAACACAAACAAATACAAAGTTAGTTTTAATTAAAAAAAAAAAGCGTAATATGTAAATGTGCAAGATAGATTAGATTTAGTTTGGATGCATTGATGAACATTTTTGATGGGCTCAGTTTTCGAGCCAATCTTACTCATCCTTTCAGCCTTGTTCACTTTTCATCACATGTTACTTAATGTTGCATAAGTTAGAGTTGGGCGTGATGAGAGCAAAAACCAAAACCAAAACTAGGAGTGCATGATGAAGTAATGAGGCCACCTGCTGCAGGCGAGAGGCATAGTTCTGTCTCAGTTCGTCCATCTGACGCTCCCAGACACGCTGCTTCTCCTCAAACACCTGAATGATTGCCGCCTCACTTTGGTCCAGGTTCCTGCGCATGTGTTGTACCTGGGCGGAGGAGAGGAAAAAAGATTCAGATCTAAGAACGGTCACTTAAATAGCTGAAGCACAAGAAATCCAACGGGAAAAACAAAATTTGAAATATCTGACTTTCTGATTTAAGCATACATACCTACAAAAGTATACATTTTCAAAACCACTAAAATGTTACCCACTTACAGAATGTCAGCCAAACACAGAAACGTTTTAATGGAAAAAATAGACTGATTAAAATGCTCTCTAGGATTGTATTTCAATAAGCTAAGTCACAACAAAAATGAAGTACTGAAATCTCAGGAAGTTGTCAAATGAATGAAAGTGTCTATGCATTCCTCACAGGTCATTATTGTGTTTGACCTTTCTGAAAGGCCTCATACCTCTTGCTCTTTCTCCCACAGACGGTCCTCCAGGTCCTGGATGATGTCATCCGACGAGGGGGAGGGGCGTAGCGGTGCTGGAGCATCACTCAGGTGACTCAGCCTCTGATAGGACGAGGAGCTCTTTCCTGAAGAGGACCGGCCACTGTCTGAGGCACTGAGTCCGTTCTGTTGGACAGAGCCGCAATGCTGATGACCATTATGACGAGGACGGTCGTGACGAACAAATGTGGGGATAGCCGAGCGCGGGAAACACCCAAGTAAGCCGAACGAGCGCGGGTGATAGCTGTACCTGGTAGCCAGGCTTTTCCAGCTTGTCCAGGCCTGCACCTGCCCCAGCCATGCCCAGCCTGTTGATGTGGCTGGTTGAAGCACTGAGTGGCCCCAAGACTGCTGGGGGCCCACAACCAGAACCAGAGCCTGTGTAGGTGGGCAGGCTGGTCAGGGAGTTTCTCCCTGAGTCTGACATCCCTCCCTGAACCAGTTCATTACCGTTTCCCCCTCCCTCGCTCCTGCTTACCCTAACTGGGCTGTCCTGGTCCAGGAGCAGGGCCTCTGGCACCTCCCCTGTCTCTCCTCCGTCTCTGCCTCTTCTGCCTACTCTGCCCTCACTGAACCCTTCACCCCTGGCTTCAGTCTTTCCCTCGCTCCCAGTCCCTCCTGCCTGGCCCACCAGGTTCTGCATGGAGTGGAAGCTCTTGGGAACCACAGGCTTGAAGGCAGAGGGGCGAACAAGGCCGGAGTTGCTCTGCATCGCCTGCAAAAGAGGTGGCGGACAGACAGAGGGACAATAAGGGAAATATGTGACACGTAAGCCATTACTAACAGAGACACTTATCCAGAATAAAATGTGAACCTTTGCTTTAGGTATCTAACAACAAAATAAATGTTATCATTAACTTTTGTGAGGGATTTCTGTACATTCCTTAATACAGAATCCATCTCTTCATATTAATTCTTGGCCTCAGGTCTACTGTTCGATTTAGGCCAAGAATTCAAGTTGATAATCTTATACAATGAATCGTATCAGTAATTTTTCCTTAAAACATTCAAAATAAAAAATAGGTTATATGATTTTTTTCAGGAAACTTGTTTGTTGAGCCAGATGTAATCTCTGCGTGGTCCTAGAGATGAATTTCTCTGGCATTTTGAGGGTGTGGACATCCAGTTAGCTCCCACTGCCCTAATTATTGAAGTACCTGCTCTAGTTTTCCTGACACTGGCATGATCTTGGGCGGGTTGTGGTTTGGCGGGTTATGGCCAGCTGGATTGTTCTCACTGTCAGTTCTGGCGGTGACCATCTCCCGGTGGTGGTGGTGGGTCATGCCGACGCTGTTCTTCTCGCTTGCTCCTCGACCCACGATGTTCCCACACGCATCCAGACCTGCGGCCTGCATCTCCCTCTCCCTTTCTCTCTCCATCCTCTCATTCTCCAGCCTCTCTCTCTCCCGTTCCTTCTCCCTCTCTCGCTCGCGTTCCCTCTCTCTCTCTATCTTCTCCCTCTCAATTCGCTCCCTTTCCCTCTCTCGGGCCCTCTCCCTCTCTCGCTCTCTCTCCCGCTCCAGCCTCTCTCTCTCCACTCGTTCCCGCTCCCTCTCCCTGTTCCTCTCCCTCTCGCGCTCCCTCTCCAGCCTCTCCCGGTCCCAGTCCCGGTCCCTGTCCCGGTCTCTCCCCCTCTCCCGCTGCCTCTCCCTCTCCCACTCCCTCTCTCTCCTGCCAGCTGCGGCACAGTCCAGCTGGTTGTTGTTGGAGGGGGCTGTCATTGTACATTCGGTATGGGTAGAGGAGGCTGTTTCAGTGGGCCGATCAGTCCCGGTGCAGGTCCCAGTCCCGATACTAACACTCCCCCGTTCATCGCTAGACGCCGTCCCGTCTGATATAGTCGCCGGAGGCCGAGGCAGCCGCTCCGCGCTGCAACTGCGGTCGGCAGGGCAACGGCGAGAGAGAGGAGGGGCTCGAGGCAGGGTGGTCCTTGTGCCCACGGACTTCATGGCAAACTCCTGCTCTCCTGCCACCCCACTGCCAACACTGCCCATAGTGGAGGTCAAAGGTCAGGGATTAGAGGTTAGGAGTCAGGATTGGGAGGGTCACAGATACATTTGGAAGTAGTGTGGGTCATCACAACCTAATGCAGGTAGTGGGGGCACACACACTAGAGGAACACAGAAAAATGAAAGCAGTTATACAATATTGTAATTGCATAATGACTAGTTATACAATAACAGATGCAGAACAGACTCCTGCCCACATACAGGGGCAACGTGGTCCTGCTATCATGACAAAATTAACAGGTCAGATTGATCAACCTGGACAGCCATTAGTAAAGTGAAGGAAAAATGAGTGTGTTAAAATACAACTCTTCCCAAGTTTGATTAACATGTGTACACTTTGAATGCAAAAAGTGACAATTCCCTTAGTTCTGACTCTGCCTTGGGCGCAGAAGGTGTGGTATGCGAAACACAATTGGCAAAAAATGATGAAACAACAGAAGTATTTAGTACAAAAAGAAGTATGTGTTGTTTGTTAGATAGTTCATCGTTAATCTTCATTATCTATTTAAATCAAACATTTTTCAAAAAAGAGACAGCTCGTCTATACTTCAAAACTTCAAAAAGTTTGATGAGTCCAAGTTGCAGTCACTCTAATGTAAATTAATGTTGTTGGCAACCTAGTGTTCTACCATTCAAATCTGTCTTGTTTTCTTATTTGCAAGTTTTAAACACAATACATTAACACAAAATTGCAAAACAAAGCATTATTTTCTTCACATATACAATATCTTAATGCAAGTAATGTCATATTTCAAACAGAATGAAAATAGAAATTTTTAAAGATCCATAGCTGTGTCTACTTTCAGAAACAAACTTGAACTTAGCTATTGTTACAGGCCTTTAGCTAAACAACTGTACTTGAATGGCCTGTACTTATATAGTAATGATCTTATTTAGTTGACCACTCAAAGGACTTACAATACAAGCCACATTCATCCATTCACAAACTTACTCATACAGCACTTGTTAGACCACAAGGTGTTGCCAGACTTTATCTCTGGCACACGTAATGTGACATGTTAGTGACATCATCTATTGTTTGTCTGAGGACACTTTGATATGTGAACCTGGGTAACCTAAGATCGGACCTCCAACCTTCCAAATGGCAGATAACCACTCTCCCTACTGAGCTACATGCACCTCATATTCTAATTACTGTCTCAGTACTGTGAAGTGTATTGTAATCTTTGGTACTGTTTGCAAAACCTGAAGAACTTGATTTTGTTTGTGGAATTGAATTGCTGTGCAAAACTGGGTATACCCATAACTGAATGGAAAACTGCATTTGTTGTTGACTTTTCCCTGTTTTTGAGATTTATTTAGTGCTCTGTAAAGATACTGGAAATCATCACAGATCTGAAAAGCCATCTAATTTGTTTATACTTTTGGTTGAATGATGGTCATCATTCAAATCATTGTTTTCAAGCTCAAAAAAGAATGCTAAGAATGATTTAAAGCAATTTATAGTGTCAGAATAGGGTTAGGTTTGGAACGTTTGATGTTGTGGTTATGAATTGTGTGTGCTTGTTCAATTGCACGTCAAATCAACTAAAAGAACCACAAAATGTTTTGAGAAAATACACTCAAAATTTGCCAACATCTCTGTGAAACACTTTCACTATACACACCTTGGCAACAGAATAAGAAAAGAAAAGGAAAACAATGCTGTGTGAAACTACAGAAGGCTGCCTTGTAACCATTGAAACAGCAGGACAAACCAAGATGCTAATTTGTGTCATCTACATGTGACATTATTGATATAGCTTAACAGAAGACCACAGTAAATTCATCATATAATCTAACATATTTGCAAAAGGCATTGATTCAATCTGCCATACGCCACTCTGCTGCTGTTGGACTGCTTTTTTTCTTTTTCGTTTTTGTCCTCAAGTATTGATTGTCAACTGATTCTCAAGTGAGCCACTGCTAAAGCCAAAAGCTGTCTGTGCAGCAATATGCAGTGACTTGATTAAATGAAATCTGTTTGCACCAAAAAAAACCAAATGGAAAATTCAAGAAAACTATACTTTTCTCATTGTTTTTTTCTGAAGAAGACATCAGTCTCACAGAGAGAGCGAGTCAAAAGTTTTGCAGTCTCCTCAGGTCTGAATACATTTACAAACAAATTTCTGTTTAATAATACAAATTTGACCCTAGCATTGGGGCTGTGTTTTATTCTAATTTTTGTTATTTTATTGTACAGAATAAGGCATATAGCAATATATGTGAACAAATGTGGTGAACAAAACATTCCCCTAAGGGTAAATGAATCAAACTCAGCAGCTGTACCACCAACATCTGCAAAGTAAACACAAAGGTGGATGAACACGCTTTGAAAACTGTTTCGTCAGGATGTAGATGTGCTGTGTTAGACTGGATTATTTTCATCTCGGGGAAATCGAATCTAAAGATTGTTCCGCTGCTCGTTGCTAAACTTTGGAAGCCTTTTTCCTCATCTGGGTCCATTTTGTGACCTTTGATGGACATTAGCTTTGGCTACTTTCTATGTACTGTTTGCTATTCAAAGTGTATCCTATCCAATGAGATTAATAGGACATTTTAACATTACCTCAATTTGCACACACAATGCAATAAACCCATAAAAAACTAGTAAGATTTATTGCCCGTTGTTAGCCTTAATTTCAGCATGTTGTGCATTCGTTCATGTAAGTAGATAATGTGACATATATATATATAAATATATATGCTGCTATGTTTGTATGAGTGTAATCTGCAGCCATCAGTCACACTGAGCTGAAAGATATATGAGCACATTCACATCAGAAAAACACACTGCTGCATAGATAGATAGATAGATAGATAGATAGATAGATAGATAGATAGATAGATAGATAGATAGATAGATAGATAGATAGATAGATAGATAGATAGATAGATGTGCAGTCACGCCAGGGCACCAGGGATGCTCCTGTTAGCCCATTTACTAGACGTTTACTTCCACTTGGGTGAATAGTAGTAGTAGTAAAAAAAAAAAGCCCTGGCTATCTATGAGCTGCTCTGCCTCATTCCCCTCCCCTCACGACTCCCTCGCTCTCCCTTTTTCTCTGCATCCCTGGGCGGCAAGGGCGGTTGTAGCAGCATCCGCATCAAGCCCCGAATCCACTGCGCTCCCAAACAATTACTTGCTAGGCCTGAGACAAAGAAGACACGGCGCGCAATCCACCGCTGAATGGCAAACGGAGAGGAAACCGGATCAAAAACGCACAGCGTCATTGACATTGACGACGTATCATGCAGCAGCTTTGATTTACCGATTGTAGCATCCCGGTGGTCCATCATCAAAGGCTACTCACTATTTTGCAGCTTGGCGGTTTTTAAGATGGCAGCCCCAATAAACAGTGCCGTCAGCAGGCGGCAGAGGCTTTCCGGGTCGCCTGGGCTTTGAGCGGTTCGGCGTTGCTGCCGTGGCACGGTTTCTATTAGGGATGCTGCCTTCGACCGCTGTCACCGTCGGATGCTGATGATGGAGTCGGTCGGTTGATACGCGCATCAGCTGATAGACACACACCCACCTCTGGCCCCGCCCACCCCCTGGCCGCACGGTACAAACGCCCCCTTTTGGCATTCATCCAGCGATCTCCCTTGGGAAAAGCCTATAGAGTCATACGTTGAGCAGTCACCTGGACAAAAAGGTGTGACAGATCATGGAAGACTGTCACAGAAATCACCGTCCATGATGTCACACAAAGCATGAATTACTTACATGGAAACATGCTGCTGTTCTAATGTATACATTGACTCACTTTTCAATGATTTGATTTTGGCTGAAATATAACCAAATTAAGATGTTGTTGGGTTCTTGGAAAGGAGAACTTCGTGAAATTGCACTTCACACAATGTACATAATGAAGTAGAAAATTCCTTCATTTTGCTCTGTTTTGTCTATGAACACCTGGTAATGTAGGCCTACTCTTGCTTCTTTGTCAATAGCAATCAAGATTAACTTTTTTTTTTAATATTCTTGAGCTATCTTTGAACACTACAATGAAGCTCCCACTAGTGACAATCCAGAGTGAGCACTAAGAAAAGATGCATGCATTCTTTATAAAAAAGATCCTGATCACTGAGAAAATAAAAAAGGCCAATGAGAGATGTGTAATTATGAGAAAAAAAGATCATCAGCAAACACACAGTTGCAGACCCAGAACTTGTTCAAAAAGATTACTTGTTTTCGGTTTCCTTTATAGCCACGTCTTATTGTTTTTGTTCCCAGAAGTCAATGGATTATTTCTTTGTTCAATTTATATCTAATTGCAATGACAAATTCCGGGAACAGAGACTAACCTACAAACAAAACAGTTGTTCATCAGGACTGCTTTTCCAAAAGCGATAATTGAATTTAGGCATTGACATGGTCACATTTAAAAGAATGAAAGCTTTTCAGCCTCACGGTGGGCAGCTCTGTGTTTGTGTGCTGCTTTCATACGATATGCCTCTCACAGAGTCATCTTACTATGCTGATAACAAATCAGCTGAATCTTTATGCCGTCAACGTTCCAAACATTTCTTACTGTCAGAATTAGCTTCATCGTCCATGAGGTGGCAGTGTTTAGTTTTGTTGGTTCTTGTTGAGTCTAACAGCTGCAATACTGATGCAAGAGTGCTGGAGAAAGGCGGTGGCCTCCTCAGTCAGGTTGTGTCTGTCAGTCACTAGCCTCCTCTGGCCAGAACGGGGCGCTACACTGAGATGCATTAAGGTGTTGGGGTACAAAGAGGCAGAAAATGTGAGGCAGAAAATCCTTTCTGTGATTTAAAGTTTACTGACTTGTTTTGGTTTTATGATATAGAAACAGTGCTGTCCAATAAGTAATTATGTATGTAAACCAAATGGATACAAAACAATGTACTTTCTCTCATTTTTCAGTTGAATATATAAGCTTGCTCCTTATCCAAATTATATATATATACAAAAAATCTGACTCTCTGAAACAGTGCTCCATTTTTCTGTTCTGATGATCAGATTTGAATTTTTCTCTGCCTGAAGCAAATCCAACATTTCTTCAAATGTTTGAAAAATTCATCACAACCTTTCTCATATCCTTGGAAACGTTGCCACAGATTTAGAATTTTCTATTGTAAAATCATGAAGTGTTTGATGTTTCTTTAAAAAGTAATGCAGTGATATAGTTATTGTTCTAGCTGTCCCTTAATTTATTGTTGAAATGTCTCAGTTAAATGCTAACACAGTTTTGACAGCATCAGCTCCTGACAGGTGACCCAAAACGTCCTTGTTGTTTCTATTTACTTGCTATGTCAAGAAAAGTAAAATGACTAAATTATATTAGGAGTGTGTGTTTGTTTGACATTTTTACCTAAACATTTATTTTACACATATTTAACTTTTTTCAAGACAGAATTTTGAGTTACAGGATGTAATCTCTATTTATGTAAACTTATATTTTGTGTTAAGTATGTCTGTGACAGTAAATTAGTTTTGATATGTCATAACACGTCAGATGGAGAAAGCCTGCTGGAGAAAGAGCCAGAACAGAATGGAACTTTTTCTGTGAAGCCTCCAGCAGCTGTTTAACGTCACCAGCGACCCCAGATTGACAAGCCCAACTGAGGGATGAAAATAACCCTCAAGGAGAGGGCACCTACCAATTCAGAGACAGGGGGTGTTAGAATTTCTACCAGCGGACAGGACAAAAATAAAAAAGTGTAAAACAACTGAAAAAACTATGTACATGAATGAAAGAGTACAAGTGTAAGCAGTGGTACATCACACAGGTTTGTTTTCATCTATTGGCAAATCTTTTCTTTGCATGCATTTAATTTTTTCATGGAATAAGGAGACAAATCATCACCAACCCATTATCGTCTTCACTTGGTACAGTTCAAGAGGTGCTTGGCTATTTTAGTACCTTGAGTCAGGAATGTGCAGTTGTCATTGAAGAACACAGATAGAGTAGATTGGACGACGAGTCTCTCAGCTATCCTGTCTTTCTACTGAAACGACCACAATCTCAGGAACTTGTTTTTTCGACCATGGAGAATGTGGTAATATTTGACTCACCTGGGAAAGGGAGAGGTTTGAAGGCTACCAAAGAGTTTTGGGCTGGAGACGTCATTTTCTCTGAGGCCAGTCTTGCAGCTGTTGTCTTTGACAGGTAAAGTGTGAATTCAAGTTGTGGAGGGTCAGTGTTGTATCTTATCCATATTAACTGGCATTAGGCATCTTAGTGGTTATGATGCGGTTATTTTTTCCTTCGAGACAATTCTTGGGGGACTTACAGAAATTGTCCCAAATGATAAAAAAGTAATGACAATAGCAGGACATCAAATGCCCTCTTCTTTCTAAATTGAAAACAAAGTGATCCTTAGCCCTTAGTTTAGACATTTCTGGTTTGAGATTCTTTCATACATTTTCCACAAAATTTCCACAATTCTATCACGGCTGACAACCAACAAGCCCATTTTATGTTTACAAGGTATCATATGTGATGTGTATCTGTTTGAAAAGTGTTTATAAACTTTATTGCAAACTTTTTTAACTTGAGACAGGATTTTTTCCAAAAATTGTGCTTTTTTCTTGAACGCTTTATCATCTTTTTATCCATAGTTTCGCAGACCGCATCTGTCACAGCTGCTTCCGCAGACAAGAAAAGCTCCAGAGGTGCGGCCAGTGCAAATTTGCTCATTACTGTGACCGAACTTGCCAGCGTGCTGGCTGGGCTGAACACAAGCAAGAATGCAGCGCCATCAAAGCTTATGGAAAAGTACCAAATGAGAACATCCGGTAAGGTGAAATGAAAGAATATGGAGTTTTATGTGCACTTTTCACTTTTCTTTTTTTTCTTGTGTCCGATAATCCATCAACCCAATCCAAAGAGCCTTGTAACAAGTTTTGTTTGTTGTTATCTCATCATAACTTTTCCACATACTGGTTGATTTGGTGTTCCATATCATTCCTATAAAACCCTTCTACAAACCGATGTTTGTTGTCTGATTTTGCTGACTCATATCCTCTTTTTGGCTGTTTTTTTTTCAGACTTGTTGCTCGCCTCCTATGGCGCCTAAACAAGGATGGGAGCATGGTTTCTGACACACAGCTGACCACTCTCGAGGAACTGGAGGACCACATTAATGACATGCAGGAAGATGAACTAAAGGAGTTCAAAGTGGACATCCACAACTTCCTGGACTACTGGCCCAGAACGAGCAAGCAGCACACGATTGATGTCATCTCACACATATTTGGAGTGGTACGTTTCTAATGTCTGATCTTTACCAGGGATGTTATCAGTGGTTTACTAAAACAGAGGCTGCTTTTGACTTTGAAAATAAAAATGGAACAAGTTTTTTGCCTATCAATATAAATTATGTTCTGTTTTAAATCAGATTTTGGTCTTCTTTTTCATCTAGATCAACTGTAATGGCTTTAGTGTGAGTGACCAAAGGGGTCTACAGGCAGTAGGAGTCGGCCTTTTTCCAAATTTATGCCTGGTGAACCACGACTGCTGGCCAAACAGCACTGTGGTCCTCAACCACGGAAAGTAAGTAAAAACCCATAATTCTCTGCAATGATGTTAGGCTCTTTGAAATTTGGTATGCATTCAGCTCAAGTCTTTCCAATTCGTTAATGAAAAATACTGAGCATCAAAGAGTCGTTGAGTGTGAGCTTTTGTGTGTGCTGTTTGTAGTCCGTGCGTGGTTGATACGTTCATCAGGTGTCATTTGTTGTAAAAATGCTTCCTGTTTGTCTTTCAGTCAATCGGCTGTGAATACTTTGTTTCATTCTCAACGGAGGTGCGTTACCTCAACCTGAGCCTCAAAAAGTCTTATTCATGAAGCACTATTAGAACAGGCAGTTCCTAATAAAAACATTATATGCACATAACCATCATTCTTTCTGGAACATAAAGGTCACCGTCACTCTTGCGATGTGCACTTTGTTTGATGGGACTTGGTTAACTCATCAAAATGCATCAAAGTGCTCATCAAACGTTCTAACCTTCATCGGTATATTTCAGTGTAACAGAAGGCTTCGCTTTTTCATTCACACATACCTTTATCTAACTGCTTGTCATGTCCACATGTAACATGTGTGGCTGCTTTTTCACTGTGTTTGTCTGTTCATCAAGAAAACCCAAGTGGTTGCTTTTACTTTAATTTGTTCATCTCTAACACTACGAGAAAACATGTCCATGTGAATATGAGATTGTTAAAAGGTGCCCTCACAAAGAATAGTTTTTTTTAAGCATTTCAGAAGTTGCTAACCAGGTAGCTAGTGCATTTCTAATTCTGCAGGTGGCCTCCATTGTCATCCCCATTTTATAGCTGCTAAACGGCTCCTGTAACCAGAGCCTGCAGCATGTAATTGGCTGCGGGGCAGGCAACTCTTCATGCAGTACAACACAGAAAAGTCAGAGGCTGTCTTTAGCATGTGAGACTGAATACAAGGGCGGGTAAAGATTATATTAGAAGAATGACAGAGAGGGATATAGTGCAGTTTACTAAAGTACCTGAGTACCTATATATATTGAAAAACCTTCAATGAAATACCAAAATTTAATCCCTCTTAACATTCATAACTGCATTTCTACTCCTCAGGATTGAGATCCGCGCTCTGGGAAAGATCGAAGAGGGAGAGGAGCTCACAGTCAGTTATGTGGACTTCTTGAATTTGTCAGAGGAGCGACAGAGGCTTCTGAAAACACAATATTTTTTCGACTGCACGTGTGAACACTGCAAGAACAAAATCAAGGATGATCTGAAGATGGGGGGAAGGGAAGTGGATGGAGTCAAGGTTTGTGTGTGTAGTTTTCCTGCACAGGGCAAAAAGGATCAAACACTCCAGCCACATTTAGCAATGAGGAGTGATAAAGACAGTCGAGAAACATGAGAGGCAGACATCTACTGTGGCTATTTAAAGCAAAGATAACACACAAGTGGGTTCAAACCTACTGAGAATTTAGACATCTTTTGCTTTGAAGAAAGTATAAGTTGGTGTTAACGCCCCTGATTTGACTTAATATCTTAAAGACTATATAAGTACATATTTGAATTACCATTTAAACTAAATGCTTTCATTAGCTACCAAATTCCAATACCAAACAAGTTTTAATGCGACACACCACTGTATTGTAGTAATGGATACGCCACTTGAAACCTTTCAACTAAACAGCTGTGCCCCAGTCTGTTGAGCAGTCCTCTCCACCAAGTTTGTGTTTGAGTATGTCAGTGTGTGTCATATGTTATAAATAGTGTATGTCAGCAAATAATGTCTGAGGACTTTGTCACATGATTGTTCACAGCAAAGCAGATGTCTGCCAAAATGATGCAATAAGATAACTGTTTTGAATGTCTTATAATCACACCAATTACATAGAGTTGTCTTGGAGTAAATCTTGTTTGTTATCGTCAAGGTCTTGGACAGCTTCTCTTCTGCAGAACGAAGGTCATTTTTAGATAGATAGTCACGCCTTCACTTTTATGGAATTAGACATGGCCGCCTTGCGTAATCTCAAAACTCCACTAAAACATTTTCTCTTAAAGCAGAACTTAAAAAATTATATTTACATTTCAGTTTTGATCAGTATTGAGTTACAACTACAGCATTTGATCATTCTCTCCAATCTCACAGCCTCCAGAGGAGCAGGTTAAAGAGGCCACAGACTATTGTTTTGAAATGATGGAGAAGATGGAAAAGGCCAGATTAAATGGTGACTACCATGAGGTAAATTAATCAAAATATAATATCTTGAAGAACACTGTACATTGCTTTACTTTAAATTTCCACAAACCTTTTATTGTGTTGTTCTTTTTGGAAGGTTGTGAAAATTTGCAATGAGTGCATCGAGAGGACAGAACCAGTCTTAGCTGACTCTCACATCTACCTGCTGAGGATATGGAGCACCATGAGTGAAGTGAAAGCGTACCTGCAGTATTTTGATGAAGCTGCAGATTATGCCCGCAAAATGGTGGAGGGATACATGTGAGTACACACACACTCATCAGCTTGTGATGCAAAGGAGCCTGCATTCTACTATGGTGCAAGACACCCAATGACAGCTGTAAAACAGCTAACCGAACACAAAAAAAAATCCCTTTACATATAAAAAGAGCATATTAGCATGTTTGCATTTACCACAATTGTAAGTCATTTTTACATGTTTCCAGTTTCTTTTGGACTGGTAGTAGTTTTTTTAAGTTCCCTTTTGAAAGTGTTGCCTTACGTGTCATGTTTTCTTTGCAGTTCATGTTTTTTCTGAAATTGGTTTTGTTAAACATGTTCTTTGTTTTAACCTCAGGGACAGAGTGCTGTTCCAATAATCAAACACCCTAATTGACAGAAATTATTGTGGTTTAAACAAATCTCTCCCTCTGGCAGGAAGTTGTACCACCCAAACAATGCTGCTCTTGGTATGGCTGCCATGAGAGCAGGAGTCACACATTGGCAGGCTGGGCAGATAGAGGTAGGACATGGGATGATCTGCAAGGCCTACGCCATCCTGATGGTCACCCATGGCCCCACACATCCCATCACCAAGGACCTTGAGGTAAGCTTTGCAGAAGTACTTAAAATTAGCTCAAGGAATTTGATATTTAGCTCTCAAATTGCATATAAAAGGGTGTAGTGAAAGGCAACTAGTGTAGCTGCACCAGGGGCTTAGTTAATGGCCCTGATTGGCGAGTCTTTTCCAGACACTTCCAGTGGAGAAAACTAAAGTGTTTACATCTCATGCACCCATTTTAATTCCAAATTCTCCACAGGCAATGCGTGTGCAGACAGAAATGGAACTGAGGATGTTCAAGCAGAATGAATACGTCTACCACAGCATGAGAGAAGCGGCTCTGAAAAATAAACCGATGACCATGATGCATGAACCCAAGTCTGTGGAGGAAGGGATCAAGAACCTCTTCCACCGGCGGAAGTAGCCCCATCATTGGACTGCAATGGAGAGAGCCATCGTTTACCATGTTGGTGTTAGAACACGTTGCCACTTGACCAAGTTCTGGATTGCTCACAAGTTTTGTAGAAACACTTTTCATTAAAGTCCTGACATTTTGAAGCAGAATCCCTCAACTTAACTGAAACATGTGGGAATCAGTGAACACAAGAATTTGCTTCAAGATAACCCTGGTGTAAACCTATGAGCCCCCCGCCCCCCCCTTATCAGAAGTCAACACTTCTGAATCAGTAACCCAGTGAACTTTACCCAACAATATGAAGTTAGCGTAGACTCCATTTATACACAAATTCCATGACAGAGGTTGGTTTCACATTTTCTTTATTCCTTCCACACCAAGTGTACATTTAAACACGTTTGCTTGTCCTCTTGTACACAATACTACCAAGAGTCATAGTCTGGTGAGAGAAAAATAAAATAAAAGTCAGTATTTGGAAAAGCCAACAAAAGACCAAAAACAGTAAAAACACTTACATTGACAATCGTGTTCCCATCCACCAGCTCCGTGACCGACTCAATTCCCTTTAGACACACTTTTAGCTTGTTTCCTTCACGGCTAACCACCCCCTTCATTACATAGGTCCAAAAACAACATGTTATAAGTTGATGCAGTTTTTATAACCGCAGCCATATTTAAAATAAATCCCACATTTCACCTCTGCTTACCTTAACCTTCTCCCCTGTCATTGTCTCCAATTCAGTCTCTTTTCCAATGGTGAAGGTGTTGGCTAGAACTTTTGTGCCAGTAGTGATGGTCACTTTGAAGTTATCACCATTCTCCTCAATCTCAGAGATGCTTTTGATGTCTTTACCTTTCTGGATCAGGTCATCTGGAAGACCTGTGACAAAAGGAACATTTTTTTGAAAGGTTTGAAGACAAGTACACTGAAAGGGTCAAATGTTTTATTAAAAAAAAATGAGGAAAAAAAAAAAGATCAAATAAATAAAAACAACTCACCAATGGCCTTCATGAAAGGCTCAAAGTTCTCCTGGGACTCCAGCTGGTATTTTCCAGAGAAAGACATGTTGGTAACTAGAGAGAAGTTAGTGCACAGGGGGAAATCTGCCTCTTTTATACTCACAAACCACATGGGCTCAATGATTAACCCCAGGTGACTGCAATTAAGGCAGCATCAGGGCACTTCATCCAGCCGCGCTCATGGAGAGGATCGACCTCAGCAGATAAGGGCCAGCGGGGAGATAAAAGAGGTACTGAGCAAATTGACCCAAGTTTGGTAATCCTCAGAGCAGAGGAGAAACAAAAAAAGGAGAGACAGGCCTTGATGAATACAGATATGGATTAGGATCTTCTACGTCTATAATTATGGGACTGACAATATATGTTTAATAAAATAATAACAAAATAAACTGCATGCAGGGCAAGCCGCTCTTTTATATTTTTTCCCTAGTTGATACATTTCTCTCGTCCATCTAAGTCAAAGAAAACCTTCAGTTTCTTCAAGCTTTTTTGGAGGGATTCTTCTATTTCTTCGCCAGTTTTTGAAAGGTGTTTACGTTTGAGAGATTTCTCACTGAAATAGCTACAACCTGCAGTTGGGCTGTAAATATTTCAGGAAAAAGGGGGAAAAGTTTTTATGATAAAATCAAAGAAAAGCTAGGCAGATTATAAGTGTGTCATACTTTTGATCTTGTCATTAAATCAAAGTTAAATAACTGTTTTTCTAATTGCTCTGTCAAATCTAAAAATATGGGTTTTGCCTTAGATGCAATGGCTGAGCACTGACTTACTTTACTACTTTTTAGCAAATAGTAAATCCCTCTTGATGCACCTTTGCACAATGTGAACTATGGTCAACATTTGATTCCAAAGGTACCTCAGTCAGATTATGTCATTTTTAAAGATAAGGTTGTGTTTTTTTTAGAATAAAGAGAGTACTCACAATACAGACTATCATTAGACCAATTATTTCAGTCCTTTCCAACTTAAACCATGAGTGTTATGCTAGGTGTTTATTCCTTCTGCTTTGTTGAACCATCTTTTATTTTGCATACACCTAAAGAATGTGACATGGTTTAACTTTGAAGTAAGAAAATGACCATAAGTGATAAGATAATCACCCTAACTGTTGCAACAGTGATACTGTGTCAGTAGAGTTGCCAGAAAACACACAATGACATGTGAGGATCTGAGAGATACGACGGTTGTGGGCTTTGTACGCTAATGAATGCTTAAGACAATCGAACAAGGATCCTGATAATGCCACAGCACACGTGTTCTTTAAGATGTGGTAAAAAAAAATGTATGTAAAGTATTCTTTAAATAAAACACAACATCTTACACTCTCTCCAAACTTTATTTCAGCATGCAGATTTCTGGATGATCTGTCTGTATTCATCCCTATTTTCATACATAAAAATATATTGACAAAGGCACTCTACAGAAGCATTCCAAAGGAAATAGCTAAAAGTAATGACAAACATAGAAATAGCTATACTGTATGAACTCTTGTTCCGTTGCTGGTGCAGGGAGCAGCTCATTGGTGGGTTCGGTGTGAATTGTGGCCGGCCAGACGCAGGAGCCTCAGGATGATGTCGCTGGGGTCGCTGCCCTCGAACAGGCTGGTTTGGTTGTCTTCGTCCTCATCAACGAGGCAGGATTGATCCGTGGTGCAGCTTTCTGTTGCAAACATTTTCAAAACATAGATGCTTTAAATTCAGCCATTTCTTTTTCAGCCTTACACCTCATGATGTTCTGTTACCATTTGTGGAGCTCAAACATTTTCAGATGCTTTTAAATGTTGAAATTTACAAAGACTGCAAATAGAATTCACAGTAAACTCAAGAAACGACTAAATAAATATTCAAATTTAAACATCCATTCACCCTTTATAGAAATCAGCATCTGTAAAATATATTCAAATGTTAAGTCAGTCAAATAAGTTTCTTCCCCAACTCTATAGTTTATGTAGGAGAGATTTAGTCCCTTAAGAGAATTTAAAATAAACATGTCTGCCAGATAACAAATGAAAATGTTCATATCTCAGTGATAATTTCTAATGTATCTGCAGAACCTGCTTTTATTGCAGACTGTCTCTGATGAGTTGATTGCATTACAGGAATTTGACTTTCCTGGAAGTATTTCTGTCAGCTTGGTATCGTTACTTTTTACGGGTACAAACATACTCCAAAATTTTCTGACCTGCATCACAGCAAAGTCCCGAAGCAGCGCAGCGTCCTCCCTCGGACCCGCAGGGTCTTCCTCCTGCCTGGCAGGGAGTCAGCAGGTAGTTCTCCTCCACACAGTGAATGGACTCTGGGGAACCCAGCAGGCAGCCCAGACCCTCCCCACAGCAGATGCTGGGGCCAAAGCAGCGGCCCCTGTCTCCCGGTCCACAAGACATGCACTAAAAGAGAGAGTAAGTGGTTATTAAATTAATCTGAATCCCAACTGTTTCAAATGTGTCTTTTAAAGAGAATAGGTCCCAGATTCTCTATTGCTCTCTTATTTCCACTGGCCTTTTTAAGAGCGTGTGACTTTTTAAGTTTACTGCCTCTTAAGATGGAATTTGCCTTGAATTTAAATATGAAGATGGATAAAAACAGCTCACCTTGCGCAGCGGGGCGTCCATGATAGCCCTCTTACCACCGATTGGGCAGTTAGAGATGTAACATGCCGAACATACAGAGAGGAGGAAAAGAAGGCATACGGCAGCTCCAGTCATGTCTGTTCACAAGGAAAACGATGAAAACATAAAGTTATAGACAATAGTAAAGAAATTCTAAACCTTGCAATTTTCAGATGAATCGTACTCACTGATTCCTTCTTGTTCAAAATGCTCCCAGGAGATTGTTGAGGTCTCTGTCTTGTCTCTGTGTGGTACAACTGACATGTCTTAAATACTTCCAAAGCACCTTTCGAGAGTGACGGAGAAAGCCAAAAGCCACTTAAAAATCTTAATGAGTAGTTTTTGGTTACAGTCACCTCCTAAGATAAAACTGGGCATTGGGCAGAGGCCAGGTCAAAGGGCCAGGAAGTTTCGTGGCTCGTTGTGCGACTTTTTGTGGAGATTCATAAGAGAAGGGTCTAATGGGGCGTGCCCATGCATGTTAGAATTGCTTTGAAATCAGGAAGGTCAAGAGGGGCATGTGGAGATAAAATTAGTCAAATTATGAGTGGGCATGATAGTGGTAAAACTTTCCATGTCCAATTACAAAAAAAGAGCAACATTTTAAGGGTTTTACTCATTTTTCAAAGAACATTTCCACACCATTCATAAGGAAATCCCAAAAAACTGAATTGAATGGTCAACGGAAGTGACCTGTTTCTGTACGGGACCTGCTGAAAAACCGTGATTTTTTTTTTGGGGGGGGCGGAACAGATGTTTATTAGCAAACTGACCCATGACAAAAACAGTATAATGCCTTCAAACTTCCCTTTGTGTTAATAAAATCCCTAATTCATCACAGGAACTGACACACATGCCAAGATCTTAGGTTAATTGCACTTATGAGCTAATTGACACAAGTAATGATCAGCCACAACCTATAAAAGACCACCACGCCTCCACAATGATATGAGCTCAATTACTGCAACTGCCACCTCAGTTCAGTCAAGAATAGATAACACTGTTTGCTAACTTTTATGCCAAAAGTGAGTACTAAGAGAGGCATGTTTAGATAAAGTGGGTTATCTTGGATTTCATGCTCAATGACAGCTAATGCGACATGACTGCAGTCACAAAGTAGTCAATGAAGTGGAATAAACTGGACCGTTGACCACTCTTGCCTCCTAGTGGTTGTGTACACATATAGGTGCACATCTTTCAGAATTAGCGGTTGTTTACCTCTGTCATGCTCTTTCATTGGATGAGCAGATTAGAGGAATGTTGATAGGGTAATAAAATACAAGACAACCCCAAACAAGGAAGAATTTTTAAAAAAGTATTTGTCCGGTAAAATGCTTTTGTAGTGTGTTATAAACATCATGAAATTGTTAACACTATGCACCTGACTACTGACTGCTAGCATTATCTTGTGCAACCAACCCATTCTGTTAAACATGAAGTTTTTATATAAGTCATATTACATTGAAAAAAAGATAGCACTCATGCAAATTGAATTGTTTGTTTATGAAACATCAACTCTCTCCACCTCACGTTCCTGCAAAAGTCGTGCAAATCCCTATTTCATAGAGAAATGGAGATGTCTATCTAGTGTTTCCTTATTTTTCTGCAGGAAGGCACTCGGCTTGTTGACTTCCTCTCCCCTCCCTTCCTTCCTTCTCTCCGAAGGTACTCATCTGAAAAATGAGAACAAAGTGATTGTTCCTGTTCTCTTTCTTAAGTCACTTCAAATGCTATCCGTGGACGAGAGGTTCATTGTCAGGAGAGCTGCAGTGTAAGCAAGAGGAAGAGAACGAAGGTTCAGGTACAACAGCAGCAGCACCTCAGCCACAGCATCACAGAAAACACACTCTGCCACACTCAGCTGGTAAGTTGCACATACACAGGCTACCCTGCAGCCTCACAGGACACACACTTGCATGGCACAGACTGGCATGTGAGGAGGAGCTTCTATTTTAATGGATTGTTTGGAATTCACACTGTGGCAAATAGACAGTGGTCTCTGCATGGAGCTACTTAAACAGGAAAAATGGAGAGCACAGTGTCATTGGGAGTAAGGAAAGCAAAAGTACAAATTCCTGAAAAAAAGTAGACGAGCATTCTTCTTTCTGTGTATGTGTGGATTATTTTTTCCGTGCATTAACTGTCACATACTTACAAATCTTTGCAATATGATACATTTGTCATCAGTGACAAATATGAAGACTTGTTTCTTACAAATATTAAGCAACTCAGATCCAAGATTGGATCATTTGTTAAACGAAACAAACAATATAATTTGAAAATGTAACCAAGTATTTATTATTAAATATGAATGTATATCTAGTATTAGAAGAGTGGTTGCAACTTCTGAGTAAGCAACCAGCATTGTTACCCGGAACAGTCAAAAACAATCTTAGCTTCATGCTACAGTGTATCAGAATAGATCTCTTCAGTTTCTTATTGCTAAGCAGTGAACTATTTGTTGGAATACAATTATGACAATGATGTGAACAACATCATCAACTGCAATTTTGAATGTCAGGCAGAAGTAATACAGTTCCCCTTTAACTGCAAGCATCTTTTCATCTGCAACATTCATCATATGTGTGAGCCCACACACGAACTAACTGAGGTGAGATATCATCACAGCAACATTTTATTGTTCTGATTTCATAATTTGTGCTGCATATACAACAGAAAAAAACAAAATGTTGTACAAACACTGAAGGAGAAATGGGGAAGTTCTTCAGTTGATGAGGGAAAAAAGATGAGGGCTTCAGAGAAAAAAGAGATGGAGAACTGAAAAGTGCTCTCAAGAGGTAGAGGTGAAGATTTCATAGAGAACTTCCTAATTTCAGGAGATGTGCACAAAAGGAAGAAGTGAAAGGTTTCAGGCGGAGCACTGAAAGGTGTGGGTGTCGACGGCACATCGCGCATACCATTAGTCCTTCCCCAGAGCTCTTCCCAGTGCTCGCTTCACATCATCAACAAAAACCAAACACAGGGTCACTGCATGGCTTTTGTCTATCCTCCATCCACATCATGTATTTGATATTGAGGCTGGAAGTAAATTGAGACAAAGAATTTGTTCTTTATTGTTTGTTGCTTTTCCCCTGTTTTCGTTAGAATAATTAAAGCAAAACCGAGGGCACATTATATTTCAGACCTGGCTTCACAAGAACAAAAGTTACATGAGCATTTGCCTACATGTGGGAAACCCATTTGTGCACGAGATTCATGGTTGAAAACTGTCAACTGGCAAAGCAGCACAATGGTGTTATTTTGTAGTAGATGGCACAGGTGACAGGCGACTGGAATGATAGCTCATGAGTTTTAAAATGTCTTTACCACATATAACATCATAGTATGTAAACAATTTGGAAATGCAGAGCATTTATTGTATATTTCAGGAATTTAACTGCAAGATTGTCAGACAGAATCTAAGTATTTCTAGATGATGACATGAGAAATTTCAGAAAACAAATGCAAACGTCATGCTATTTTAGAAAAGATTAAAGAAAACTAGAAAAGAAAACAAAGTGAATAATTAGACCATAGAAGACCAAAGAACAAGACAGAGACTTTGGACTTGGCATTTAAAAAGGAAATTCTTCTTGTGCTTTCTCGCAAAGAAAAACTACTTAGAACTGCTCTTAAAACATGATGGATGCTCTATATGTGATTTAAAATCTGCATCAGTTAGAAAGGGTATATCCTGGCTGATAGGCCAACAACAAAAACAAAAGAGCCATATTAAAGGTCAATGACTCCAATGACGTTAACTACAACATTATAAATGAAAAGAATGATAATAAACTTTTATGTGCAAATTTAGGATTAAAAGTGCTATTCACCAGCTTTGTCCTGATTTGCTGTTGCAATTGCAATTAAAGGTAAATCTGTTGTCTAGATTCATCTAGAACTAATCTTTAATCTATCTATCCTTCTAAATTCATTCAAACCATGTTAGACATGACATATTTTTCAAATGTATGTGAGGCTACGCTACCTGAATCGGACAGGAGTGGGCTCAGAGGTCTAGTACTCACCAAACCCGACTTGTTTTTTATTCTTTGCAGAAAACAATATGGAAAGAGACACTGTGAGCTCACCAAGTGGAAGTCCTCCCCTCAGTGATGAGCTGAGACAAACATCTCAGCGCAGTTTCTACCTGAGCCCAGCTCCATTGTATTTCAAGCCACCAAGAATCTCCCCGACCAGATACCCCGGCATGCCGTCCACCCGAGACACCTACAGCGCTTTCAGCACACCCGCATTCTTTCCCATGCTTGGCTCCGGGTACGCCCAAAAAGAGGGATCCCAAAGGCGGCAAAGAATTCCTCTCAAAATAGATGCTGAAGAAGGTGAATCTCCCGATAAAGAAGAAGAGGAGGCAGAAGAGAGTGGCAGTAAGAAAGCACCGGCTCTCCTCCATAGCCCCTTCTCCTTCTCTCCTGGATCACATTCCTCCCCAACTTCCAAAACCATCCCAGGAATGATTGAGCTCAACAGGCTGCAGCTCCATCACAGGTCATCCGGTGGGAATCTGCCTGTCCAGGTGAAGCAGGAGCCTCTTAGCCCCTCGCCTGTTTGGCCCCCATCTCCTTTTCTTTTCCACCCTCCTTACTTCCCACCCCTTCACCACAGCCTGCTCCCATACCCCTTCTTCATGCCCGGGCCTGTCATGCACCTCTCTCCTGGCGCCTTTTACCCCAGAGAGAACCTCCGCTCCCCTCAGACCGCCCGCGATGGAGCGTCCAGAAGCGGAGCGGCGAGCGCCGAGAAGCTCAGCCTCAATGTGCACGTAGACGACAGCTACTACGTGGACGTCGGTGGAGACCAGAAGCGCTGGAAGTGCCGGATGTGTGAAAAGTCCTACACCTCCAAGTACAATCTGGTCACCCACATCTTGGGCCACAGCGGCATCAAGCCGCACGGCTGCCACCTCTGTGGGAAGCTGTTCAAGCAGCTGAGCCACCTGCACACGCACCTGCTCACCCACCAGGGCATGAGGCCTCACAAGTGCCAGGTGTGCCACAAGGCCTTCACTCAGACCAGTCACCTGAAGAGACACATGATGCAGCACAGCGACGTGAAGCCGTACAGGTAAGCTGCATTTTCCCAGGCTAATTTTTCTTTGCCATATTTGATCCTTTGCAATCCTTTTTTTAAAACTCGTCTCATTTACTTGTCCTGCAGCTGTGGCGTGTGTGGTAGAGGTTTTGCTTATCCCAGCGAGCTTCGTGCCCATGAGCTGAAACATGAAAAGGGGCAAGAGAACGTCTGTGTGGAGTGTGGACTGGACTTCCCGACCCTAGCCCAGCTGAAGAGGCACCTGACCGTACACCGCGGTCCTACTCTTTACAGGTGATCACAAAATCCCCCCTTTTCATTACTGAGTTCATGGCTGAGTTTATTCTAAAATTATTTAGCTGTTGTCCACAGTCTTAGAAATGTGCTTTGCAGGCTTTTTTGTGCACACCTGTTTCCACCCGTCATATCTTTTTTTAATAATAAGGTTCTGTCACTGGCCTCAATGTAAGCAAACACATAAGTGCATTATCAGTCCATGTTCTGTATTTGCCCAGTATGAACATAGCCTGTTTTTCCTGCAGGTGCTCAGAATGCCAGAAGACTTTCCAGTATCCTAGTCAGCTTCAGAACCACATGATGAAACACAAAGACATCAGACCGTACATCTGCAGTGAGTGTGGGATGGAGTTCATCCAGTCACACCACCTGAAACAGCACACGCTCACTCATAAAGTAGGTTTAAAACAAAGCAAGGGGTTAAAAATCTTACTGTTTAGAACTGGGGATGGGCACAAAAACACTAACAATTGAAAAAAATGTTACAGCTTCACTCAATGTTTTTTCTTCTGTAATTCACATTTTAAACAGTGAAGATGATGGAAAGAGTCTATCTATCTATCTATCTATCTATCTATCTATCTATCTATCTATCT